GAGCCGCCATTTTTTTTTTCACGTTAAAAGTAATTAATAATCTCATATTTCACCTAAATCGTGCAACGAAAATATGTCCGCATTTTTGCACGCATGCCTCAGCCTTGACTCATAACTTGTTCCGGTCTTCACACACTTCCAAGCGACTACTATTCTTTCCCGTGAATTGGATTTGGAAAATAGACGTGATGGATTAATATAATTAAACCATTATTATTTGCTTATTCTCACACATGTAATACTATAAAATGTGTATAACATAAGTCACAGATACCAAAAACGATATATTTATGTGTGATTGTATATTAAACTAAGATATAATCATACATTTGTGTGTGATTATATCTATGAATTATAATTATAATGGATAGCAATCATCATTTCACCTTGTTTTAGTCTACTAACTACTACTAGATATGAGTTGTCTGTATATTGTTTAATTTTGTCTGTAGTTGGTGTAATGACGTAATAACTCAACGTGAACTAAGCGGACACAGGCACACAGGTATCGATTGTTATCTATAAGTTGGCTTTCACGAATATTATTTTAAGGAAGCATTCTATAAAATGATTAAATAAAATCTGAAGGACAGTATTAAATTATGAGCCGAGTTAACTTACACCAAATCGACCAGTAGTGACGAATGACGTAAGCACCGTATTTGGTCGAGCGAGATTGGTATACATAAAATATGACTAGATAGAGAGAAGTAGTTTGTAAGTCTCAAATTAAAACCATCTAAATATCGAGTCTTTTATTTATTATTTATTATATTGTTATACATTCGATGTATATCTATACTGACTTTTGGCCGCAGCTTCTTTTGCTTTTATCTTAAATTGTAACGTATTTACTGGCAAAGGAAAATGTCATATTTTCAACAGAGTTCAAAAATGAGAATCAATATTCGGTTGAATATTTTTAACGTTTGTTATTTCACAACTCCGTCATTTATGAACCAATTTTAAAATTATTTTTTACATCGAGTTGTGTTTAGCTTCCATGTGGTCCCATATTAATTTCTTTATATTATTTTATTATATTATTAAAGCAAATAGAAAATGTACAGTCACTTATTTGAAGACCGTTTGTTTCTTTGTCAAAGATGTTATGTTAATGATGAAAACGTTAAATAAGTACAACTGTGGTAGGGCCAAGCAACATACTGGGCAGGTCCGTCCGGGTAAGTAACTACCACCTCTCAGAAAGCTGGCGTGAAGCAGAAGAGTTATAATTCTGCAGAATTCTGTTCTGTTTCTTAGTTCTTAATTAGTTATAATTCTGCAGTTTCGTCTTGTGGGTGAGGTAACCGTACCCGCTTTATTAAAATGTGCCAACGCATCTGCAATCCTAATCAAATATTTTTTTTATTAACGAGATCAAAACTTGTAGTATGTTGCAACTTGTACTTGTAGTATGTGTGACAGTTACGGACTTGGAATAACCTACTTAGGAATGTTTTATAAATAACTTATTTTTATAACTGCCTTCGAACTTTGAACATGTTTCGTGTAAATGCGTTAACAACATCCATTGCGTAGGCATCTCTATTTAGTGTCAATCCATTCGCCTACAAAGTAATTAAGCCGGCGCTAGGGTTCGTAGCTACTACGTCGCGACGGTTACACAAAATAAGTCAATTAAATCTAAGCTCAGCACGCCGAAGCCTTGGGAAAATGCATGAAATTGCACAAACGATGCGCGAAGCCGTATTAATAGGGGCCTTGCACTTATCAGTCGGATATAATCGATACGATTGAAGGAACTGTTGCGTTTAAGGCGTACGACGCATTAAAATTACCGATTGGGCGCTTGCCTTTAAATGTGACATTAAATGACATAATGAACATCCTCGCGAAAGTTTCTATGTATGGATGGATGTTTGTTACTCTTTCACTCAAATACTACTGAATGGATTTTAATGAAACTTACAATTATATAGCTTATACATCAGAATAAGATATAGGCTATAATTTATACACATATTTTATGGTTATCTGTCTTTCTGTATAAATGTCAGCCTATTCTACGCAGACGTAGTCGCGGGTAGCAGCTAGTTTTTCATAAAGTTATTTTGGTATCTGCTAACTAATACTAACACTAGATTTTAAGTTGTCGTTTTACTAAGATTTATATGATTGTAAAATTATCTGAAATAAAAATATATTATTATTATTCGAGCAACCTGTGTTCCTATCGCGGTGCCGGCACCAATGAAATTTTTAAGTGCCGTATTATCACGTGCTCAGCGGTGAAGTAAAACGTAAGGAAATCTGCATATTTTCAATATAATAAAAAATATTCCGCATATTTTATGTGTCTGTCAATCCGCAGTAGGTTCGCGTGAACTTTGCCCTAAAACCCTATTTAAAGAAGAGGCCTTTGCTCAGCTTCGGAATATATAATGTAGACTGTTGTTTGCTGTGACGTTACGTAATACGTTATGCACACCGACTCGGATATATATAACGGTTGTTTCGTAATGTATAATTTGAAATTTCTTACAAATATTATAATTGCATTACACCGAGTAAAAGTGAAATAAATAATAATTGTAGCAAGAAAAGTGTTGGTCGGTGTGAGACCTACAAGCATCTTTTTAATCTGTAGTCGTCTGAGAAATTATCCACGGTGATTCTATCGACTATTAAAGCTCTAATTAACAGAGTTATAATGTATTAATTCCCGTGATATACTTTGATAACGCTATTCGTTATCATAGTTTACAGTATTATTGTAAACACTGTCTTTCGGGTTTATTTGCATTTACATAGAAAACAAACCTGATGCAAGATACAAATTGCAAATAAGTACAAAATATACTTATTTCATAACTTTGCTACTAAAATCCTTGACACAAATGAAGTAGCGACAAAAATGCGAAGTCCTTTATTAAATTATAATAATGTTTGCAGACTTGATAAGATCTGTTTAAAACTTGTGTACTGTCGGAAAGTCAATTTATATAGGTTTTACTTTTCTTTCAAACATTTAGACATCATTGGGCATTTAGTGTCCATGGAAGCTTAATAAAACTCGATATATTATGTATCAACGTTTGGCTGAAAATGGTGTACCTACACCTCGTAATATATTTTTTTAAGTATGTACAGTGAAGATACATCATACGTGGACTCAAAAAGTGGGGCTTTGTTGCTTTATATTATGAATGGGAAATAAAAATACTACGCTTTTATAATCATCCTTAGCTACTAACCTTATTCCAAATTTGAATAAATTTGTAATTGGATATATGGAATGAAAATATCTATAATCTAATATAGCTGACCTAATTTGGCATTTACGTCTAAGACCTTTGTAGAGCATGAACTCATTTGTGCCGTGCCCTGATTACTTTGTATTTCGGGTGTAAAAAAGGAAAATAACGAATGAAAGGACGTGATCGAAAATTTTATTTTCTACGACATAAATAAAGCGAACACTTAAACCTTATCGACTAAGATTAATATGTTAAATATGCCTAAAAAATACTTTTACGCGGGAAAAGACATTCAAGTTGACCAGCTTGTCCCAGGTGACGTAAATGTTTGTCTAACACACCTGTCGACGTATTTAGGAGAACCAACTTAATGACTCAAACATTCTGTGGGACGATGTAGAGATAAAATCAATATAGGTAATGTTTTACGTCTGATGTCATTACAACCTTATTACATTAATTTAATCGTAATATACGACTTGAAAAATGGGACTTATAAAGGGCGTACTTATTTACAGATCTCTGACATTATATTACAGAAAGAAACTAGTAATAAAATTTATGTTATACAAAAAGGTAAAGGTAATACTGGGTAGAGGGTTGAAACAACGAAGCGGTCTGGCAGACACATAAAATATATGCAATAAATAATTTAAATAAACGAAAACTTTACTTAAAGACAAACAAATGTACGTATTTATGTTGGTTGATCTGATATGTAAATCAAATTAACTTCCAATCAAATCGACTGTTTCTATAGGTAATTTACAAATAAATATAGACGTTGAGTTAAGGGATGGCTATACAATCAATAAGGCATATTTATTAAGTGAGAGTAAAAAATACAACATTGAGTAGTTTAGTAGGTCACAAGCAAGTAACAAGTTATTGGTACTACAAGGAGGATTTAGGAGTATAGTTGTTGTAATGACATAATTTAATTGGCTCTAAATGAATTTATGGGTTCTTGGGGCTTTCATTCTGGCTTATATTTGCGCGTGATATTTACGACTAAGGGGATGGAGATATTTCGAATTCATTGTGCGAAAAGAAGGGACCGACAATGTTCCGATTCTACTAAATTGAGGGTCAAAATCGCACAATAAATTTTTTGTTTATGTATATAAAACCTTCAGAGACAATTATTTTCTTAAAGCATTATGGAGAAGTATCACTCATTTACGAAGGGAATGTTCTACAAAGGTCACTTTTTCGCATATTAATATGAAAAAAAATGACGACCATTTAAGCTGTTAGAGAATGAGCTGAATATAATAAAAATAGATATATTACATTAATTACAAGTAATAGAAAGTTTACTGCTTTAGTTGTTTTTGTTCCTCTTTTTTTAATATTAAAAATAAACGAATTATAACTGAAAGTGTGAACTGAGTGAAATTTGATGTTATAAATAATTAGTGTACCGCATTTAATGTTATTGAATAAAGTAATGTTTTGTTGTTTTATGTAACGAAACTATTTATGGAGTTTTCATCGCGATTTACCGAACTTTAGTTTGAGACTCTCCGTCTTTTTACTACGGACGCTGCGACGTGTCTAAAAAATTACGAATTTAAATTAAAACTGATGTGATACAGTCCGTAAACACAAAGTTTTTCTGCTAACGCTACTGCTGTTATCTATCGCTGCCTTCAGATCATCATTTTCCGTCGACCGTGCAATGTCTGTGTACGTGAAGTAGCTGATTTTCCCTTCAAACGTTAATAGTATATTTAATCTGTGAAAAAAATAATTAAACTTTCGAAGATTTCCCAAGTAATGCTGCGACGTTTCAATAAACTTCTGAGCAGCATGAAAAGCGCCGTCCGGGGGAGGGTTTATTCCACTTTTGCCGACTTTATTGGTGATTATACGAGCTTTATTATGAAGAAAGTTATTATTGTCTGTTTCGTACACTTTTGGTTGTATTTTCTTTCGTAATTTTACCGTTATAAAAACTTTTTAATGTTATAAAAAAGTTCAGTTTTTAGACTTCACAAAGTTTATACAATTAAAATTTCTAACCTAGAAGGGACACAAGATTTTTTTTTAAATTTCTAAGGTCTTTTTTAATAAGAACATAAGAAAAATTCGTAAATATTTCGTCATCTTACTAATAACAAAACGTATTTATTGTATTATTTACATTTGTGATTAGAATCTATTTAATAACCATCATATAATTTTATTACGATCATAAATATTACACTATCGACGCAACTAGATGATTTGTGACTAGCCTATATCCGTGACTTCGTCTACTGGATTTTTTTATGACAAACTGATAATTGCTTGAATACTATTCCGTCTGGTGGTAAGCAGTGATGTTGTCTTTATCAGTTTCGGCAGTAATCGCATTAAGTCAGTAAGGCTTCTACTATTGCCTCATAGATACTAGTATAATATTCGGGCAGAAAGTCTGATGCCGGCAAATATTCTACTGCCTTGCTGTATCTATTAAAGACGGAAGGAAGGTTTAATCTCTATATTTGTACAGGAAATGTTGATACGATGAGGGCCTGTTGTGCGTCTAGTCATTCTATGCAGCGGGAAGATGGATGGAATTGAGATGGTTGAATTAAATTGTGTAACCCCTCCAAAAACTCCTAAATATATACTATAACTTATCCATACTAATATTATAAAGGCGAAAGTTTGTATGTATGGATAGATGTTTGTTACTCTTTCACGCAAATACTACTGAATGCATTTTAATGAAACTACAATAATATAGCTTATACAGAGAATAATAAAACTTATCAGAATAAGATATAGGCTATAATTTATATACATATTTTTATGCATATCTGTCTTTTCGTCTGAATGTTACGCTTTCAGCCTATTCTACGCAGACGTAGCCGCGGGCAGCAGCTAGTAGGTATCCTATAACGATACAGAGAACATTTCAGAAAGGAATTAACGTGTAAACTATCACCTCGATTTTTATCTCCTGAGGGTTGGATTAACTTACCCGTTATTATTAATCTATGTCTTACTTAAAAGAAAAATATTTCTTTATTTTTATTTTGTTAGGTACCTAAATGTTTATATGCATAAACTTCCATTCTCAATTTAGACATCTATGGAGCGAAACTTCGGAAATCTCCCTCATTAGTAATCAGACGAAGTAAAATCTAAACTGACAAAATTTTAAGTTTCAAAGGTTTGACTTTTATTAGGTTACCGTAGGATCTAATAATTTACAACGTAAATATTAAGTAATAACGCGTTAAATAACATTTTTACCTGCCAAATGTTAATTTTAAATTTTACTGCAGAGTTCCTATTTTGTTGTTACGCCGTTTTTTTATATAAGACTAGTAAGTAGGTATGGTAATAGCCTGCACATGTCCAACTGCTGGGTAAAGGTTTCTTCTGTACAGTAGGTATCAGAGCATAATCCACCACGCGGCTCCCCACTGCGGATTGGCGGACTTCACATATCTTCGAAATATTTTTTTTGTTATTATTACGAAAATATGATGCAGATTTCCTCATTATGTTTTTTTTACCCCTGTGCACGTAATAAGTCAGCGCTTAAAATTAACAATTTCATTGCGGCACCGCGAATCGAACTCAGGTTGCCCGAGTAAATTGGCGAGCGCCCCGACACTGAGCCATCACGGCTTCCACAAGACTACTGTTAACACCAAATATATTATCAAGGTGAACTGTGTGAATATGTTATTGAAGTGTCAAATGAACTAATACTGTTACGAGAACTCAAATTCCCGCCGAAATAGAAATCGCCATCTTGTTTCCCTCTGTACCATGCTTTTGTCTCTGGTTTTCCGGTTTAGATACACGCACCGGTACAGATGGCGCGGGGGATGCGGGAACAATGGACATGGGCAGCCGGTCCTCGCTTCACACCGGCTTACAGATGTCCGAGGACGAGCATTGGGAGATGAATTATCACGAAGCAGCTATATATTTAGAGGTTGGCGATTTACAATGTCGCTTGTTATTGTATTATGATTAATCTTTCATCTTCAGATATTGCAGGTCAGGCTGAACTAATTGGCAACTCCTTGCCTGATGAGCGTCCAACAATTTCATTGGTGTCAACACCGGAAATTGAACTGTGGTCGCTCGAGTGCATCTAAATAAAAGCGACAACGGGACATTGAGCTCTCACGGCTTTGGGCTGTGTTTACTTGTACATTATATTAATAACCCATATTGAATATATTGTTCACAATTTGGACTACCATTCCAGGAAGGTTTGAATAACGAGAAATTCGACTCTCACCCGTCGAGCCCCGAGGAGTTGCCGGCGTACCTTAGGGTCCATAACCCATGGTACCACGGACTGGATCTGTTGGCGTCTCTAGTGCTGATCCTTCTCGCTTTCACCGAGGACCCCGCAGTACCGGCCTTCGAGGTAACCAGAGCTGAGGCTTGACTTCATTGATAACGTTAACTATTGGAGCGCTTTGTCGTAGCATCACCTGATGATGATCTGAATTAGTAACTATGGTTCGATGGATTACGTTTGATTAATGGCCGGTTTCAGTATTCTATCTACAGATAGATTTAGTTGCTAGCGACAGGTATTTGACATTAGCTCTTCTATTGTGTGGTAAAATAATTTGGTTCACGTAAACACGAGAACTTAAATACAAAATTATGTAAATATGCTGTAAACAAACTATTGTAATATTGAATCACGTAAGTTAAAATAAAAAAAAACAACATTTAAACATAAACTATACCTGGCAACATTTTTATAACCGAATAAGTAGTGTTACTATTAAATTAAACAACGCCTCGCAGCTGCCAGTGTGGGCACACGGCACGATAGAGCTTCTGGCACTGACGGTAATAGGCGTGGAGCTGCACCTCAAACTGAAATGGATCGGCTGGAGCACAATTCTTAAACACAAGAGGACTATGATAAAGGTCAGTAGACTCCTTACCAATGCTCTCTCATGAATATCGTCGGTATATCCTATAAGATTCGGCTCAGTCGTCGTGGGTCTCAGGTTCTATTTTACTGCATGTATGGCCTAATTAAGAATGATTAAGAGGGTCACATTACCCGTTGTTATTGAGCGCGGTGTTGTGGGTTTACACGATAAAAAATAATTGTGCTGTTGTTTCGGGTCTGGGTGTGTTTGTCTGCTGCTTGCTGATTTAATTGGTCACCAAACATCATATCCTTTTTGGGGATAGGTGTGCGTGCGCATCGAAAAAATTTTACACTCATAATTTTTCCAAACGTGCCAAAAGAAGTATAACTGGATAAAGATAAATATTTTAGGAAACATTTTTACACGACGTTCTCTAGTCCCAAACTAAGCAATGCTTGTACTATGGCTACTAGATATCTGATAAACATACTTAACCATACTTTTCTTTTGTAAATAAATACATATTATACATATATAAACACTCAGACACTAGAAAAACACTATGTTCAACACACAACATTTTTCCAGTAGTGGTCGAACTCACACCCTCTGGCGCAGAAGGTATTTGTGTGTCCCACAGATAGTTGTTTCGTAACTGGGTGTTTATCCACGCGAAATTTATGTTTTGTACAATGCCCTTACAACACGGGATAATGTTATAATAAAGTAAGGGCAATGTCTGAAAAAATAACTTCGAAAACGTTCAAAGTCAAAGTCAAAATCTTTATTCAACATAGCCTAATTTTAAGATCTTATTGAACGCCGAAAACTACCACCGGTTCACTAAACTAAACCTGCCAGAGAAGAACCAACAAGAAACTGAGCTCATATATTTTTATTTTCTTTGAATTACTTAAGTATATACACAAACGTATTTAAGTATAAAATTAGCAGGAGTAGACTTGCATGTGCAGAGTCAGAGTCATTTCCACAAATCCTTGTGCGGAATACATCCAGTATTCCGTTCGTGACACTTCCAGGGTCTGACGTTGTTGATCATGGTACTCGAAGCCGTGGTGGTGCTGTGCCGGCAGTCCTCGCACTTCAGGGTCACGCGGGCGCTCCGCCCCATCTTCCTGGTGGACACGCGGCACTGCGGCGGCGTCAGACGCTTCATCAGGCAGATCCTGCAATCGCTCCCGCCCATCCTGGATATGCTCGGTAGCTATTTCACATTTTTATATATAAGATCTTGGCATCAAGAGAGCATATATGGAGCAACCAAAAGGGAAGCGCCCTGTTGGTCACCCCAGATATCGCTGGAAGGATGAATTCAAGAAAGATCTGAGCGATCTTGCCAGATGGCTAACTGGCTCTCCAGTTAGCCATCTGGCAAGAAACAGCCCAAAATAGAGAGCAGTGTCGCCTTTTAGTGTAAGATCCTCTTTGGGTCGCCAAAACTTATAACTTGTCACAAATAAATAAAACAATATACTTACTTCGTTAACTAAGTATATTGTTTTAAATGAAAATGTGGCAAACGAGCCTGGCGGTTCACCTGATGTTAAGTGATAACCGTATCATCGACATGTGCAACACCCGTAGGGTTGCAGATGTGTTGCCACATTTTAATAAAGTCAGTAAAGGTCCTAGCTATTTCGCTCAGCAGACGAAACGCAGAAGTGCAACACTTCCGCCGGTCTTCTGTGAGGTCCTGCTACTCGCTTGTGGCCCTACCATCCTACCAAAATGTAAACGAAACCAACATGAAGTTCGTTACATAGATAATATAAGTAGGATTACATAGATAATATATGAAATATAATAAAAGTAGGTTGATAAAAGTCCGATCGCAGCGTCATCTGGATTTTTCTTCAACAGTGGAGTCACTTCATGCAAGTAAAGTAAATTATAGTAACAGCCTATATATGTCCCATTGCTGGGAAAAGGCCTTCTCAGTACATAGGGTATTCGGCCATAGTCCAGCATGCGACCCCACAGCGGATTGGCGAACTTCACATGTGTTCGAAATATTTATTTTTGTTAATATTTCGAAAATGTACAGGTTTCCTCACGATGTTTTGATACGTCAACACTTAATAAATAACGAATATATTGCCAAATGCGCCCGGAAATTGAGCTATCACAGTTCATACAAATTATAATCTTTTAAAACATGTGAATTAACATTTTTATTATTTTTGTAATATATATTATCTATGACATTTGTCCGCTTCTTTTACAGGTCTACTAATGTTCTTTGTGGCGACGTATTCGCTCCTCGGTTTCTATTTGTTCTCGGAGCATATCGACAACGGCCATTTCAAGACCATCAGTGATTCATTCGTCAGCATGTTCGTCTTACTTACGACAGCCAAGTGAGTTTTGGCTGTTGTCAGCCTAAGAAATATTGATAAATATTTATTACGTCGTTAACCAAATACACTTTTTTTATGTGAAAATTTGCCAAGCAAGCAGGCGGTACACCTGATGTTAAGTGAATACTACAATCCATGAACATCTGCTGCACTCGAGGGTTGCAGATGCGTTGACAACCTTTTGAAAATTGGGCTCCGGCCACCTCACTCACCAGACGAAACGCGAAAGTTTATACTTCCACTTTACGCCGCTCTTCTGTGAGTCGTGGTAGCAACAGCCGAGGCTGCTGCGTGGCCCTACCACCGTGCCACTACCACTTTTAATAGATATGTCTGCTCTATATCACGAGACATACATTTGATTCCCGTACGGCACAAGTATTTGTGTCATTGTGTCCTAAGGTTATTTTAATCATGATCGGTGGCCTATAGTAATCATCGTCATCATTTCAAACTTTGAGTCCACTGCTGACCTCATATTTCTACAAATTTTAACTTTTTCACAGTTGTCCGTATAATGTTCATTAACTGATATTATTTATTTACGTTATTTAAAGTTAAAAAGTAGCTTTTTTTTACGTTAAATGACGTTATCCTATTCCTGATGTTTCAAATACAATACAACGTCCGTGATTGCAACAACTGGAATAGTTTCATTTAACAATGCGCGGTCTTAATTGAAAAAAAAAAATATTCATACAATGTTTATTGGCGATTTGGTTTGCATTGCAGTTTCCCTGATGTCATGATGCCATCGTATGCCAAGTCGAAATGGTACGCGCTGTTCTTCATTCTTTACATCATCACGGTGCTCTACGTGCTTATGAACTTGGTGAGTTAAACTTTTATAACCTCTTGACAGATTCAGCTGCCCACGTTTCCCCGCTCTTTTGTAGTGACAGATCGTTACCCGCCTTTTTTAACTGTCAATGATTCAAATCTTATTTATATTCTATAATTTTGGGTAGCCTCCATTAAGTGAGTGAATCATTTATAACTTCTTGATAGATTCAGCTCATGTTTCCCCGATCTTCTGTAGCGACAGATCGTTACCCGCCTTTTTCAACTGTCATTAATTTAAATCCTATTTAATTAGACATTTTTGGGTTGTGTCCATTATTAAGCACACGCTTCGATCGTTACGAAACTGCAGGTGTACCAAGGCAATATATTATGTCTTTGTTGATCTGTGCAGATGTTAGCCGTAGTGTACGAGACTTTCACGCGGATAGAGCGGGAAAAGTGCCGCGCCTTGTTGTTGCACAGGCGCGTGGCCGCTCGCCGCGCCTTCCGTCTGTTGGTGTCGCGGCGGGCACCCCGCGCTGTCCGCCTGCGGCACTTTGCGGGACTTATACGCCACTACGCGCCGCACTACAGTAAGTAAATTACGCAAGAGTGCGGTCGCCGTTCTGTGTGAGCGAAAGAACGAAACAACTCGGCCCCTTTTTCACGTCCAACGAATTACCCCGAATTCGTTGACCAGAGACCATGGGAGCGCCGTGCCTGGTGTGTGGCTCCGTCGCTCACCTCTTTTCAGCCGCGGAGGGTAGGGGGAACGGCACACCGCAATACAGACATTCCTCTCCCCCCGCGGCCCCACCACCACTGCATCAGCGGTGCAGCCCCGCCGAGTCGCGCAGGATAGAGAGCGCGGCCAAACGCAATACCGACACTCCTCTTCTCCCGTCCCTCGTCCTCGGTAGCAGAAGACAAGGGGAGTGGCTTCTCCTCTGTTACCCTCGACCTGTCTCCTGCACCTTCGAAGGGAAGGTCGGAGGGAAACCATTCGGGCTTCGGCGGGCTGTCCCCTTCGGAACTCTAAAAGCATTATTTTATATATATTAGTCCGTAATCTGACCGGCTACGTAACCCGCAGGCGGGCTGGACGTATACCTGATGTTCAAGTAGCTTAACCAGTCGGGTTCCTTCTTGCTGTCTCGTTAGGAGATCTAGATTAGCATCTCAACCAGTCAGGATCCGGCGGACTCTACCGTTCGGAGTTCTAAAAGCACAATATTAGTCCGCGATCTGACCGGCTACGTCGCTCGCAGGCGGGTTGGACATGTACCTGATGTTCAAGTAGCTTAACCAGTCGGGTTCCTTCTTGCTGTCTCGTTAGGAGATCTAGATTAGCATCTCAACCAGTCAGGATCCGGCGGACTCTACCGTTCGGAGTTCTAAAAGCACAATATTAGTCCGCGATCTGACCGGCTACGTCGCCCGCAGGCGGGCTGGACGTGTACCTGATGTTCAAGTAGCTTAACCAGTCGGGTTCCTTCTTGCTGTCTCGTTAGGAGATCTAGATTAGCATCTCAACCAGTCAGGATCCGACGGACTCTACCGTTCGGAGTTCTAAAAGCACAATATTAGTCCGCGATCTGACCGGCTACGTCGCCCGCAGGCGGGCTGGACGTATACCTGATGTTCAAGTAGCTTAACCAGTCGGGCTCCTTCTTGCTGTCTCGTTAGGAGATCTAGATTAGCATCTCAACCGGTCAGGATCCGGCGGACTCTACCGTTCGGAGTTCTAAAAGCACAATATTAGTCCGCGATCTGACCGGCTACGTCGCCCGCAGGCGGGCTGGACGTATACCTGATGTTCAAGTAGCTTAACCAGTCGGGCTCCTTCTTGCTGTCTCGTTAGGAGATCTAGATTAGCATCTCAACCAGTCAGGATCCGGCGGACTCTACCGTTCGGAGTTCTAAAAGCACAATATTAGTCCGCGATCTGACCGGCTACGTCGCCCGCAGGCGGGCTGGACGTATACCTGATGTTCAAGTAGCTTAACCAGTCGGGCTCCTTCTTGCTGTCTCGTTAGGAGATCTAGATTAGCATCTCAACCGGTCAGGATCCGGCGGACTCTACCGTTCGGAGTTCTAAAAGCACAATATTAGTCCGCGATCTGACCGGCTACGTCGCCCGCAGGCGGGCTGGACGTATACCTGATGTTCAAGTAGCTTAACCAGTCGGGCTCCTTCTTGCTGTCTCGTTAGGAGATCTAGATTAGCATCTCAACCAGTCAGGATCCGACGGACTCTACCGTTCGGAGTTCTAAAAGCACAATATTAGTCCGCGATCTGACCGGCCGCGTCGCCCGCAGGCGGGCTGGACGTGTACCTGATGTTCAAGCAGCTCAACCAGTCGGGCTCCGGCGGGCTGAGCCGTTCCGAGTTCGCGAACGTGTACGAGGTGTTCGCGCTGCGCTGGGCGCCGCAGTCGGGCCGCGCGCCCTGGTACGCCGCCTCGGCGCTCGAGCCGGCGGGCAGGGCCGCCGCGGCCGCCGTCCGGTGGCCCTACTTCGAGTACCTCGTGTGTGAGTATAATAAAATAGTAATAATAATAAAATATCTTTATTCACATAGACGCTTGCGCGTTCTTATGGAACGTCAAGATTTTACAAAGAAATCAACACGTTCGTAAGTTGCCACCGGTTCAGAAAGCAGTTTCTGTTGAGAAGAAACCGGCAATAAACTCAACAGTTGCTCTTATTTAAAAGGTCAGGTTACAATATAATAGTACAGGTAATAGTCCTGTTTTAGTCTACGTGAGTATCAACAGTAAAGAAGTAAAACAGTAAATTAACAGCCTGTACATGTCCCACTGCTGGAAAAAGGCCTCCTCTGTACAGAGGGTATCAGGGCATAGTCCACCACGCGGCCCCACTGCGGATTGGCGGAGTTCACGTATCTTCGAAACATATTTTTATTATTTCGAAAATATACAGGTTTCCTCACAATGTTTTCCTTCACCGCTGAGCACGTGATAAGTCAGCACTTGAAATTAAAAATTTCATTGGTGCCGGCACCGGGGATCGAACTGAGGTTGCTCGAGTATATTGAATTACCTAAAGGCGAGCGCCCGGACACTGAGTCATCACGGCTCGCTAACTAAACTAAGTAACGCAGTAGTAAGTGCTATTAGCATCGATAAGATTTAGTTATATTAAAATATAACACGCAGTGTAGGATGACCCCCAACTAGATGTAGTGGCGTTGGTGTTTATTTCATGTTTAATGTTTAAATATATATACTGTTATTGTGTATATACTATGGACTTGTCGGGGGAAGTACCACGGCCTCACAAAAGACCGACCTTTTTCTGGACCTATCTGGTTTGATTTTATTTGAAAAAGTAGTTTGTTATTTCGGAACTTTCTGTTAAAGAGATGATCGAAATTCGGGTCTTGATTATAGAGTAAAGAGAAAAGCGTAAGGACGTACGCGGAAAATTGCAACGTGAGACGCTGTAGTAGCTAGCTATCTATAAAAACGCTAAAAAAATCATGGCTGTTGTAAGCCCCAGTAAAATATTTTTTATTATGTTTTTTAGTATTTGTTGTTATAACGGCAACCGAAATGCACCATCTATAAAAATTTCAACTGTCTAACTATCAAGGTTCATGAAATACGGCCTGACTGATGGACAGACAAACAGACATCGAAGTCTTAGTAGTAGGGTCTCGTTTTACATTTTGGGTACGGAAACCTAATAAAGTAAAGGTTTGTTTTTTTAGATTTTCGCTCCAATCCTTAACCCGTAACTCATAAAATTACTGTTTATGGGTAACAGACGCTTTGATAATCGGCAACGGCGTGTCTATGGTACTTCGTGTATGCGAAGCGGCTGGCGATTTGCAGGACAGCGCGCGCCTTCTGTGCGCCTCATGGGATACTTGGCTTTTCCTCACGCGTGAGTTATGAATACTGTACATTGTAGACTAAAACTATTTGTTATTTCTCCATAGATTATAAAAGATAATAAGAAACCAATCGATTTACAAACTTACGAGATATAATTTAAAATTTTCCTACATAGAGGTAGTTTTTAGCCAATTTCACAGTAAAATTTGAATGTACTTTAATTTATAACTTTTGAAAACAAATTATCACATTTATATCACTTAGTTACAAGTCGAAGGAATGGATAGTGACTTTGGCTATAAATATTTTCTTAACATTTTTTTTATACGCCTCCCTCACTAAGACACAGGACATGTCGCGGGGATTCCCACACCATGAAAAACTATTTTTTCAAACTTTTTAGTTGTACTAAAATATAACTAAGTTACTCTGATCGTAATTAATCTTATCAAAATTTCACTATGAATCCTATAAATTGTTATAACCTCAAATTCAACGCATAGTACTGACAATAATTATAGGTCAAACGTATGAAAAAAAAAATAATATTCAAAAATATTTAACCTCTCTGTACTTACATATGAAGTGATTCGCCAATTGCAGTGTTCTTGCTGGAAGCTGCCCTAAGGATGATGGCTTCAGGCCTGTCCGCTTACTTGGAGAGCGGTTGGAACGTTTTCGACCTCAGTGTGACCTTGTTGGCGCTGATGGGAGCTGTGCTGCTCAGCATCGCCCCCAAGCTCTTCATAGTGGTCATGTTTAGGCCGTTGAGGCGAGTACTTTTAATTTCTAACTGGACATCATCATGCTTTCTGTGTTTTGGTACCTTTTGTAGATGTCTAAAGATGTTTATACCTACCATGTGAAAGAAGAAGCGAAGATCTAATAAAGAAGAGAAGATGGCGGTCGCCAAAAGTTTTCCGGAAAAAAAACAAAAAAGTTTAATTTCATTCAGAAGAATGAAAATAACAAATCTGAATATTATTTTTTTCTCTAAAACTATAACCGACCGCTGAATTCTGCTTGTTGATTAATTCATTACTGATTTTTCTCTATAAAACAAATTATTTCGTGAGGTCGCTACAAATGTAAAGAGTGACCATTCCAAGGAATAAACGTCTCTCTTCTAACGCCTCCAACAGACTGATGCGTCTGTACAAGTTGAAGAAGCGATACCGTGACGTGTTCGGTACACTGGTGCTGCTGTCTCCGCTCATGTCGTCCGCCGGTTGCGTGATGCTCGTCATGTACTACTTCTTCGCCATCGTCGGCATGGAGCTGTTCGCCGGCTACGACCTGAAGAACTGCTGCGTGTGAGTTCACTCCCCTAATTTTGGGGTTCAAGGTCTCTTTCATTCCATGGAGTTGAGAGCTGAGATTGTTCTCTTCATCCTTTGCACAGTCAGTTGGGGCTGTTGTCCGTACGATAGATAAGGCCGGCGTGAAGTGGATGTGCTACGCTTCTGTATTTCGTCTGCTGAGCGAGGTAGCCGGGGCCTTATCATAAGGTGTTGCCACCTTATAATAAGGACCCTACATCTGCAACCCTACGGGTGTTGCAAATGTCCATGGGTGGCGGTTATCACTTAACCGCCAGCTCGTTTGCCACCTTCTCACGTTAAAAAGATAAAACCTGCGTTAGTGTAGTATGTTCACGAGTCCATAATGCAAGCATGAAGCAGGACGTTCTATCGGGTGTCCTACTGAGTCCCCTCTGCTCGAATATAACCTTGCCGTCTTCACACACGCAGAGGATAGGTTGCTAACTATGGATTAACAAACTATGTCTGTTTCGTCGCTCTTTGCAGTTCTTTGTTGGACTGTAACTCGAAATCTTTGAAAACTGTAACACTCGTAGGAATTAACCACAACGCCAGGAATTGTTGAATCCTTCAGGAACACAACCGTGGAGGACTTCTACAAGTACTCCGAGAACAGCTCCACCGCCCTCGGCTACTACTATCTGAACAACTTCGAGAACATCCTCACCAGCGGTGTATCTCTCTTCGAGCTGACCGTCGTCAACAACTGGTTCATCCTGATGAACGCCTACGCCACAGTCGCCGGCCAGTTCAGCAGGCTCTACTTCATGGTATGCGATTCCGTTTCGTGGCCACAGGACCTTTTTACTAAGATCGCACCCCATGATATACCGGTAATTTGAATTAAAAATACTATTGTATTTCCAAGGATACTGAGTTTGTGCCCTCTCATGTACTGCTTAAAATTTGAATTAAATATTAAAGTTTGAATTAAAAAAAATACTATTGTATGATTGACGTCAGGCAGGTAGCTGGTTAGCAAGATCAAAACTTACTATAAAAATTTAATTTCAATAGCAAACGCGGCATCTCTTGTTCGAATTATCGTTGTAAACCGTTATTTGAATTTGTTTACGTGTTCTAAAGGACATACTCGTAAAATTAGATCCGCCAAGCATTGCTTAAAATGCGGAAATACATTGTACATAAATTACGTTGAGGTTTATGTAGGTATAACAATGAGCCATTTACATTACTTCTGAAAATTTTAAAGAAGAAATTGTTGGGTTACCATAAACGTCAGATCCTGTACTTTACTTACATACGACTTATATTCGAAATATTTTTTTGTTATTATTTCGAAAATATGCAGGACTTGACCGCTGAGCATGTGATAAAATAGTACTTAAAATTAACAATTTCATTGGTGCGGTCACCGGGGATCGAACTTAGGTTGATTAAGTAAATTGAATTAAAGGCGATCGCCCGGACTTTGAGCTATCACGGCTATTTAATAATCTACTTATCATTTTCTCTCATATGCTCTTCTGACAGGTGTTCTACTTATTCACGATGGTGGTACTGACTATCGTAGTTGCCAGCGTCTTGGAGGCATTCAGGTTTAGGATCCAATACAAACGGAGCACCACCAAGAGGGATGGTGAGTTTTTACCATAAACATTGTTTTTTTTTTTATAAAGATTTTATGGTCATATATAATGTAAGAAAGATGGTGTACATTCAGCCGCTTGACGGGAATCAGCTAACTTCAGGCTGAAATTTGGGTACCAGCTGGGCTTTTATTTTATTTAGAAACAAAATAACGTCCATTTTAATTTCCCACTTCAAAAATTCTGCCAAAATGCAGAATACAGCCCTGGTGTCGGTTACACTCTTGGCAACATAAGGAAGAATAAATCTGCAATTAGAAGACCATTATATGCATATATCTGTAGGGAGTTAGAAAACACCCCTAGTATAACCTAGTATACTAAGTGTATTTGTATTTTGTATAGTTCGTTGTGGCATTCCAAGGGGGAGGCCTGTATTCAACAGTGGACGTCTTACGGCTGATCATGATGATGATTATATTTGTATTGACATATTTTAATAATTACAGAGGAGAAGTTGCTTCACGAAGAAGTTCATACGAGCTGGGAGGAAGCGCAACGTCTCGGTGTAAGCGGGGACTTGGCCGACGAGCTAAGGCCTTTCCTGCCTCCAGGGGTAAGTGTAGTGGAAGAGTTTGTTACATGGTTTCTGCACGTTCGTGAGCTGTAGGCAGTAAAGTAAAGTAAAGTAACAGCCTATACATGTCCCACTGCTGGGCAAAGGTCTCCTCTATACAGAGGGTATCAGGGCATAGTCCACCACGCGGCCCAACTGCGGATTGGCGGACTTCACATATTTCGAAATATATTTCTTTTTGTTATTATTTCGAAAATATGCAGGTTTCCTCACGATGTTTTCCTTCACCGCGGAGCACGTGATAAGTGAGCACTTAAAGTTAAAAACTTCATTGGTGCCGGCACCGGGGATCGAACTCAGGTTGCTCGAGTATAATTATTGAATTAAAGGCGAGCGCCCGGACACTGAGCTAGCACGGCTCATGTAGGCAGTAGTAAAGCTTAATCTAATCGTACATTAATACTTTACCTGACTGTGGTGGGGTCACGCCACAGTCTTCCCTGTTGCACGAATGGGAAGGTCCTTCCGGGGAGGTACCACGGCTTCACAGGCGTGAAATGGAAGTGCTACACTTTTTCGTTTCGTCTGATGAGTGAGGTAGCCGGGGCCCACTTTATTAAAAGGTGACAACGCATCCGCAACCCTACGGGGTTGTAAGTCTATTGGCGGTAGATATCACTCGGGTGAACCGCCAGCTCATTTGCTACCTCTTCGCCAAAAAAAAATATTCGTGCAGGTGGATGTGACCTTCATTGGTTCGCGGCCTCGGACCAAGGAGGTCCTGCAGCGGCGCATGTACCAGACCGACATCCAGAAGTGGCTGGCTGAGGAGGACGAAAGCGAAGGTATTGTAACTGCACTATGAGCTTAACCATGACATTACAGGAACTTCTTCACCATGTTTCTGGTGCCTGTGTTTCTACGTTACTGGCTTTTGAGCCGGAGATCGTGGGTTCGATTCCCGCACGGGACAGGTTTTTATGTATCTCGTTTCTAGGATTCGAACACTGTTCAAGAGATAGGAGATGGATCAGTCATCAAAATGACACGATCTGTAAAGAGAGCGGTTAAATCATTTTACTAAGGATAACACCTGATTTATAGTTCCATCCTCGATCTTAAAGTAAGATCGATGATACGTTTCTTTTTATCTCATTGTAACTTTTTAAAGTATGCATAATTTCATGTCTCGCTCATTTTTTTACGTGTCTAAATCCAAGAGAGGACTTCTTCTGGTTCCAGATCTGCAGCCTTCGACCACCGCGACATCTAGCGAGGACCCCCTCGCCCCCCCTCTCATCCAGCAGCCCGACGCTGAACCCAACCACCAGATCAGGACCGGCTACCAATTGTAGGATATGATTCTCGCCGCCCTTCTTAACAGACTGGCGGTCCTATGGGACGCCTTGAAAACGTTATGATAAAACATAGTTCGCTGGTTCAGTGATTTCATATTCTGACTAATGTTAAAACGGAATTGATATCTGACTCTTGACGTGATGTGCGCGTGTTTTCTTTTAGTTAACTAACGATTATGTGTTGTTTATATCTAGATTGCGTGTACGTATTAAAAATCTATTTGCTTGACCGTTTAAACCGCCCAAAATTGTATTAAATCCTGATTATCGTTCAGGTGTTATTGAGTAAGATTTTACTGAGGCGTTTATAGGAATTATGCTTTTTACGGCATACTGACAATGCAAGCGTGATAAAACTAAATAATTAGGATTATATGTAGATAATCGATCAATTTACTCTTATATTAATTCATTATCTGTACAAATATTTGCATACGAGTAATTGATGTTGAGTGAACAAAAATGTTGCCAACAAGAATAAATTGCAAAATTAGGTTAATTATCACAGAGTACATTTAATTATAGACAATCGGGTGACTACTTATAGTTTATGCTGACTTGTAATTTATGCGTTTAATCTAGCTTAGCTTAAATGTTATCGATTATAACATCTGTGATAGAAAAGTATATAAGCAAAGCTTGACCAATTTTCTTTATTTAAAACTATTTATTTTATTATTTTAATTCGTTTAAGATTTTATTCGATTGTGAAGTAATGAGATTATTTTTTGGTTGTTTTCATTACCAAAGTTCTAATTCAGTCACATAATTATAAATACTTACTTATATTAAAAAGTAAATGCGACTCGATTCTTACACTTCTTGTCTTTCCATGTGTTAGATAAATTTATATAATTGATTTGGTTTCGTTAGAATTCTTTATCATAGAAAAAAAGGTTTGTGGAATCTGTAAATTTTGAATTTTTAAAGACATACTTAAAAATAAATATTATTTCCAATGCTTATTTTCCTTGTTAAGGCAGCCGATATTATTGTATAATTATGTGAACTGTAACTATCATAAAAATATTATATAGCTTTAGCAGCTAACATCTAAGTAATATGTGATCGTTAACTTAAGTGCAATGATAATTATTAACATTATAAGCATAAGCAATTGGATTTTACTATATAAGAAAGTGAAAAAGTTATACTGAATGTTTGAAGTGGGCAGGAGTTTATGATGAAAGTGAAAACTTCGCAATCGAGCATCATAACTGTACTTTCTAATATGGCCATAGCTTAGCATCGAACAAAAACAATTCTTGAATTAATAAAAACCATTCCCTACCAATTTATAAAGCTAACAGATATATACGTAGTATAATAATAATTTATATAAAAGTAAAAGTAACTATATTTAGGAATGGGTTTACTAATTGTATAAGATGCAACGGTATTTTATACTATAGATATTGAAATGCATAATAAAAACAGCAATCAAAAGTGTTGCCATTTCCAAACAGAGTGACAGCAACATTCACACGTTTCCTATGGAATGTAGAAAAAAGGATAGCGTAATAAAAGCAAAAAGAAGAGCTCTTTTTTAAAAAAAAATGATACTTCTCGATTTTTTTGTAAAAAAGAGCATCGGTCTTTCTCTTCCCCGTATTAAACTTGTTTCGGGCGCATTAACATATCTGTAGTATAAGTTATCATTGAATGTGACACTGCTCCGAGATGTTTTTGGATATAACAAATACAAAATTGACATGTGGCGTCAAAACATTCTCGACCAACCTCCATTCTCCAATTTCAAGGACATCTTTCAAGACGTTCATTATGTATTTAGGGATATTAATTCATCTACTCATATTTATAGACGTACATAATTACGATAACAAGGAAATATAAATAACAGTTTTAAGAACAGATTTTTATAGATTTCTTTGACGGGAATACATCATAAATAAAACTATTTTACAGATTGTAACGACTATGTAGTTAACGAAATGTCGGTAATTTTAACAACAAACTATACGTGAATAAAATAGTTTTAACTTCAATATTTAGTATTAGCTTAAATCGAAGGAACTTTTTAATATTATCGAATCTAAAGAGTATCGATATTATGATTATGTATAGAAAAGCATTCCTTTCGTTGAATTAAAATTGAATTTGTTTCAAATATTGAGTAATAATAAAAATACTATTGTACATCGGTTTCCGATGTAATTCTAGGGTAAAATTGCTTTAGAAATAGATGATTGGTGCTTCTCGCTAAGTGATGAACTAGACATTTTTGTCTGCACATTCGCGTGCCGTGTCATATCTTAATAGATAAAAATTTTGTTTCCGTATATTTGTATCCACAAAACTTCAAAAGTAGACGATGGATTTACTTGATATTTGTTCACAACATTTTTATTTCGAAATTCCCACGAAAACGAAAAAAAGCCAACTCGAAGCGTGGACGGTCTCAGCTATTAATGTCATAATTCGTTATTCTATATCAGGGACGATAGAGTTAAGAAGAGCAATCTCTGAGTATAAAAAGGGTCCGTCGAAATGGGTTAAATTGGTGGCGCTAAGGTAGTATATGGATATAAGGATAGAATTTTACCCATGGTTACTAGTTACTAAAATTCATCTCGACTAGGTAAAAAAGACATACCCTATAATTTATATATTATTGATTAAAATTTACCACCAAGTTTCAAACTAGTCCATTACTAGTTTGGTGGTAAATCTTAATCATAACTGTGATAAACTATTATTGCCTGATGTAAATTACATTTTTGTAGTTGTAGTAACAGGGCTAGTACGATGCTATAGACCAGTTCGGGTAGTTTCAATTCCATTTACTATATATATTAGCAGTAGTTCTGGAATCTCTCCATTACCACATCAGACTAGCTCTTCCAAAATATTTCAATATCTCGTTGTAAATAGTTTTAAAAATTAAGTAGACATTATGAACATGTCTACTGAATTTTTATATACAGGGAGGCTTTTCTAAGTGTAGCCATTTTTTTGTATTAAGGTATAGACATAAATAATGTTAATTAAAAAATGTTAAATATTTAAAATCACTCGTAATTAATTAAATACATTCATTTGAACTTATCTCAAAAAGTGCGTGCTTTATGGACAACTCATTTATTTTACGCGCGATCTTTTATAACTAACACGCACGCAAGTTCGTTTCAAAAGTATACGACGCATTTATGAATGACTACCGCATTGTCAACAAGTTCTGTTTTTTAGGGAATGGAATGGGAATTTTTTTTTTGAAAAAAGAAAGTGTTTTTATTTCATTAAACGATTATACTACCGAGTCTGAACCTCCTGTGTGAATTTGGGCACCTTTACAAAAGCCAACCTGTATATACAGCGTGTCTTTACAATCGCGACAATAAATGAACACACATATAGATAACTTTTTAAAATTGTATTAAACATTTACATTCTTTAAACACCAATATTTACAGAATTATAAAATTTTCCAAAACAAAGAATTTTAGAACATCCTTACGGATAAAACTGTAACGTAAAGTTCATTTGTAAAAGTCACAAAGCATATGAATGGGTTGAATGAATTTAAAAGAGACAAAATATAACGTTAGAAGGAGAGGCTTGTAATGCGACGCTGTGACAACGAATGAAAAAGTCTCTGAATGTATGAATCAGTCAGTTGTAATTGTATAGGTGTTACAAATTTTGTTTCTTTTTTACTTAATTAGTTTGTTTGAAAAAAAAATTATCAATGGATTTTTTTTGACGTTAATATTTTTTTATGATTATTGGCAAGTAGCGTTAGACGTGTGTTCATTTATTGTCGCGGTGGTAACGACACGCTGTATATCAATTCCAAATAGCAAACCCAAATAATGCCCTGGATCTATATGAAATATAATTTTAAAAAGTATTTCTCACTTCCATAGGCTTAAATCACCATCGTGTAGGGCGGAACGCAGGGTTAAAATGTCGAAGTGCGTATGGTTTGCTTATTATTTAATTTAGAGTAAAAAAGGATTTAATTTTTATGACTGTTATATGTACCCAAAAAGGATAGTTGTTAATCGCACTTTATTGACAAATCACTAGCTGCTTTAATATTCGCCGGGGATAAATATGGGTGTATCCACGTTTTACAATTACTAAGTTTGTTGACATTAAACTTGCTACCTAATTAGAAAAAATACTTTACTGCTGAGTAGTTGGCCGGCTAGTGTTTGCAAGAGGAAACAAAATACAATCGTGTCAATAATAAATAATTTCGTAATTTAAACAAAACGACAATTTGAATCCAATCTATTTTTTTCAAGGCAACGTATATGGCAAGACAAGGCAACCTTTATTCAGATAAATGGCAACTAAACTAATTTAACTTGATTTTTCTGTCCATCCTTACTTTAATATTATAAATGCAAAAGTTTGTATGTATGGATGGATGTTTGTTACTCTTTCACACAAATACTACTGAATGGATTTAAATGAAACTACAATAATATAGCTTATACATCAGAATAAGACATAGGCTATAATTTATATACTTACATATTTTATGTATATCTATCTTTCCGCCGTGTCGTGCCTATTCTACGCAGACGTAGTCGCGGGCAGCAGCTAGTATTGAATAAAACAGAAATAAGTCGAGTATGTATTTTGTTTTCATTTTCTGTTGTTGATGCCAGCGTAGAAACTAAATTAAAGTTTGGTAATGTTCAATTTTTTTTTGTAAAATCCTGCATGTACGAGAAGTTGTATAATTATTTGGGAGTGATGAATAAGCAGCGAGACAATGGCACCAACTTTATATAATATCAAACAATTACTTGTATCTAGTTTAGACTGGTACTGTCAAAATGGTAGACTGTTAGTGAGAGGAAATTGTGCCTTTAGCTACTCACTGTTCAATTTTAATTCAAATGTTTTCATTAGTATATTACTTAATAAAATAGTAAGATATTGATTTAAGACAATGGTTTCTTGGTGTTGCCAAATTTTATGGTGATGTATAAACACATAGCTAATTTTTATAACAGTATTAAAATGAATTTCTTTATTGTTGTTTATTTAAACGAATTAATTTTGATTTTCTTATATAATTATTGTTATAGCAAAATAATGTCTACACAAAATAAATAAATGGAAAAAAGTCGGTATTATTTATCCTTATTTCATTATTCCTAGTATTCATTATTTATATGAGCAACTGAGGCTACAAGCTAAGTTTAGGATTTGTATGTTTGAAAATTAAATGTTTATTTTAAGTTTGTCTAGTGCTAATCTCTGCACTTGAGATGAAACATTAAAATTAATCGAAAAGTTTTTGGCCGCTAAAAATGTCGAACCTACGTCTTCCAGATTCGCGCCCAGACTCTTTAACCACTAAGCTAGACAGCTGAAGTACCACACCGACGACAGTCTCCACTTCTTTTATCAACATTCTTCCATCGATAATTCGAACGAGAGATTTCGTCAATGCCGTTTTAAATAAGAAGTACCTGGATGACCGAGCCTTGATAGGTATTTTAAAAAAAAAAAGTAAAAAAATAAGTGTGTAAATCACCGTGACACGAACCGCAGCCTTCTGTTTCAGGGCCGCCCGATTACCAACCGAGCTATTATAACATTTTTTTTTCGGCGAAATTTACCGTCATATTCGAATGATATTTTTCATTCCCTGAAAATAGGGATAAAACGACATTTTCTAAAAATGAAACATAGCCAGATCGATTTTTCGCCCCCGAATCTACGCACATACTAATTTCATGAAAATTGCTGGAGCCGTTTCTGAGATTCCGATTATATATATACAAGAATTGCTCGTTTAAAGGTATAGATTTTGTATGTCGGGTTGTATTATTTTATCGGTCTATTCATAAAAAAAAAATATGTCATAATATTTATATCATATAACAATAATATATTGACGACCTGAATGGCGTAGTGTGTAGTGTACCTGCCTCCTGCGCTAGAGGGTGTGGGTTTGATCCCCACTACTAGAAAAATATGGTGTCAGTATGTATAATATGTAAAAAAAAAGTATGTTTATCAGTTATCTAGTCTAGTAGTCATAGTACAAGCGTTGCTTAGTTTAGGACTTAATTTTTTCGGCGTGGTGTCTTCTGCGTAAAGCGCCCACTTCACTATAAACAATGAGCTGAACATTTCATAAACATAAAATTCATCTTCATTCATCAAGCATGTTGAAATGAGAGAGTAAAATAAATTTAAAAACTTTAGCTTATTTAGATTATTTTTAATAATTTTATTTTCCTTGACACCTTAAAATCCGTTTATGTTCTTAATAAATAGTAAATTTTAAATAAATTTTTTATTTAAGTAAATTATACTAATATTACAATAACAATTTTTTCTTCTCTATGTTTTATTTTTTTCCTTCTTATATAATACTAGTGACCCGCCCCGGCTTGACACGGGTTTATTATTATTATTAATGTATTATACTAATAAACCTTCCTCTTAAATCATTCTATCTAGTAAAAAACCGCATTAAGATCCGTTGCGTAGTTTTAAAGATCTAAGCATACATAGGGACAGATAGACAGCGGGTCGACTTTGTTTTATACTATCTAGGGATATGCTTATGTGGGTACTGCTTGTTTTTTTTTTGCTTTACCGTACCGCTGCAAATAGACAAAGAGTATCTACAAGTATGAGAACTTTCTACCAAGAAAATTTACACGATGATGAAGAAAATGTTTACAATGAATATTGTGCGCTGGTGTTGTAAACAACTATAGAAACTTATAACATATCCACGAATACATGCTACTAACATAGTTTGTTTACATGGTCCCTATTTTAGACGGAATCACTATAAACTTCATCAGGTGTATCACTCGTGGTTCTGGATACCGGCACCACCCACCAGCGTATCCGTCACCCGGAAACCACCGTTGAGGAGTTCAGCCTTCAATTCTTCCACCTTGGCCTCTTCCGTGGATGGCGGTATCAGCACGATTGCGTTTCTGGAGACGAGGGGAATAATTAAAGCGTATAACAATGGTCGATAAAACTATTCTACGGATATAAATCATTTCGATAAGAAATCAATGGCGAGTGAGTATGTACAAAGGCGAACTTAATGCCATCAGAAATTGTTCATTTTTAAGTGCAACACCGTGCATCGAGATAACAAATAAATGGTGCAATTTTAGTGTCATCAATAAAATGAATAGTTTTAATAAAATGGCGTAGTTTTCAGCAGCAGCATATGTGAGACAAAGTTTAGAGGCCGTTATCTTTTTTCCGCTTCTCAGCAATTTGTAGTCTGATGCCCAAAACTAACCTCCCCCCCCCCCCCCACTAATTGGCGTGTGTAATATTCAGTATCCCAGAAGGAATCGCCCCTCCCCCCCCTCTGTAATTTGGCTGGCGTAAGATATTCAGATATATGGTGCATAATATTCAGATGTCGAGAAGCAATTCCTCGCCCCACAAATTAAAAAAAAATAAAATAAATCTCGCCGCTAAGGGCGCGCTAAAACTCACCCACCGCCCCCCGCGCCCGTAAGCTTGCAGGCCAGCCCCCGCCCGGAAGCCGCCGAGCGTATCGCCTCCAGCGCGGGGTGCGACACCCCCAGGGCGGCGAGGAGGCAATGGTTCATCCCCCACAGCTCCTAGAAAGAGCGATTTAGAATCATAAACGAACATGCATACGGAGAGAAAATCGACAGTTCCAAAAACAGATTTTTAAAATATATATATATATATATATACAGCGTTACCGCCGCGACATGAAATGACCACACATAGAGGATACCTTTTTAAAATTGTATTAAACATTTACGTTCTATAAACATCAACATTTACCGAATTATTAAATTTTCCAAACAAACAATTTTAGAACACCCTTACGTATAAAACTGTAACGTAAAGTTCATTTGTAAAGGTCACAAAGCATATGAATGGGTTGAATGAATTTAAAAGAGATAAAAATACTGTTAGAAAGAGAGATTTGTAAAGCGACGCTGTGGCAACGTATAAAAACGTCTCTGAATGTATGAATCAGTATAGGATGTTACAAATTTTGTTCCTTTTTTATTTAATTATTTTATTTGAAATTTTTTTTTAAAGTTTATATTTTTTTATGATTATTCGCAAGTTGCGTCGCGTATATATATATATATATATATATATATATATATATATGGTGGGAGGTTACAGGGAGGTTTTTTTAAGTGTATCCATTTTTTTTATTAAATCACTCGTAATTAATTAAATACATTCATTTGAACTTATCTGAAAAGTGCGTGATTTATGGGCAACTCATTTATTTTACGCGCGATTATTCATAACTAACACGCACACAAGTTCATTTCAAAAGTATACGACGCATTTATGAATGACTACCGCATTGTCAACAAGTTCTGTTTTTTAGGGAATGGAATGGCAATTTTTTTTTGAAAAAATAAAGTATGTTTTATTTCAATAAAACGATTATACTACCGAGTCTCCTGTGTGAATTTGGGCACCTTTAGAAAAGCCACCCTGAGAAATTTTTACTCTATATCGATGATGTTTTAATAAAGATGATGCATTTTCATACAGCGCTTTAGAATAGTTTGGCTGTTGTGTCGCATGATTTAATTACTTACGTTCAATTGTTCATATATCACGTCGATATCCGTGCTGGATTTTGTGCGAGACAACTTCTCGAGGAGCTGCAAAGAAGAAGGTACTATGCGTCATTTACTGTAAAGGCGGTCAAGTTATGGAATTCACTACCACATGATATACGTGCCAGCACTTCCCTTGACCTTTTTCGTAATAGACTCAAGAGACACTATTTATCTACTTAAAATTGAAAACAAATATATTTTGTATATATTATTTAAAAATTATATATAATTATGTATTTGTATTTATTATTTTATATATACATTGACATTTATATGTAGATATGTATTTATATAATAAGTGTTTTATATAGGGTCTTGTATATTTTTATAATTACTGTGGTAAATTCTCTGATAATGTACTCACCTTCACCTAATTACATAACATTATTATGGCTTCATGTTTTCAAGGGTGTGCTGGAAGAGAACTCTTTTTAGGGTTTAGCTCGCCTTTGTACATGTTTTTTGTTATTTGTTCCAATTGAAAAGGAAGAAACTTTTTTTAAAATATTTTTTTTATTAACACACACATATACATATTTAAACATAAATTATGCTGTCCTTTTACACAAAACACATTACAGATAGGCACGTAGACAATAGAAAAACTTTATCTTCTGTGCATCACACATTCTACTACAACGGGGATCGAACCCGCAACGTCTGACTGGTTCACGATCCACTAATATCGTATTAGGATCACCATCCAAAATTTTGTTTTAATGTTAAAAAGTGGCTAACGAGCTATCGGTTTATGTGATGTTAAGTAATAACCGCCGCCCATAGACATTTGCAACACCCGTAGGGTTGCAAATGCGTTGCCACCTTTAAGTAAAGTGGGCCCCGGCTACCTCACTCACCAGACGAAACGCAGAAGTGAACACTTCTACTTTACGCCGGTCTTCTGTGTGGTCGTGGTAATTACCCGGACGGACCTGCCCATTAGTGCAACAGCCGAGGCTGCTGCGCGGCCCTACTACCTATAAAACCTGGAAATTGATCGAAGGATTCGTATATTGCTGTGTATTTAAATGTATTCTCTTGACAAATCTCTAGATATGTGTAACAAGAAGAATGGTATTTTTGGCTTCGTAAAAGTACCACACACCATAAAGGCGGTCTTAGGGCATAGTCTACCACGCGACCCCACTGCGGATTGGCGAACTTCACATATTTTCGAAGTATTTTTTATCATTTCGAAAATATACAGATTTCTTCACGTTGTTTTCCTTTACCGCCGAGCACGTGATAATTCGTCACTTAAAATTAACAATTTCATTGGTGCTGGCAAACATATTTGAACTCAGGTCGCTGGGGAATATTGAATTAATAGCCCGGACACTGAGCTATCACTTCGTGAACATTCAAGAAAGTCACGACGAGGTTTTGGCCAGTTTAAATGGGTAAAAACACTTACCGCGGCAGCGGTTACGGCCACGTGGTCTACAGCGTCCATTATGTGGTCGACAGCGGCCCTGTTCCTGCTTCTGAGGGCCGCCACGGAGGCGACCAGCTTACTAGTCTCTCTTCCCACTCGCGAGTCGACCAGCAAAATCCGAAACTCCGGACTGGACAACAGTAGCGGTTCTTCCCCCTTTTTGAATGACACCAGAGAGCCGTACGTGCACGTCGTGTTGTCTATGCCTGGATGGTGACATACACATATACTGATTTCTTGGTTTTACGCTAGCATTATACATATATTTTTTTTTTTTTTTTTTTTTTTTTTTTTAACACTAACCCTTGAACTAGACATTACATACAATATATCAGAAAATAATGAGCGTAGCGTTAGCTTTGTAACCGAGACGTGGTCCTTCACTGCTGGCCTATGAGGTCGCTCAACGAACTATGGAGCGGGCTATGCTCGGTATTTCTCTGCGTGATAGAATTCGCCACAAAGTTATCCGCAGAAGAATAAACGACATAGTTCTGGAGATTAGTGATCTGGAGCGACGATGGGCCGGCCATATAGCTCGTAGAACCGCCAACCGATGGGAAAATAGGGTCTCGAGTGGCAGGCTCATACTGGCCATCGCAATGTTGGGACGACCCCACTAGATGAAGTTATGATCTGTATGGGAAGTGAATGAAATTATAATGATGATGATGAGCATATGAGAGTAGACTGCTTTTCCGTGCGGCTTTGCATCAGCAATGAGTTTGGAATGCCATTATGTAGCCATAACAAAAAGAAGCACTCAAAAATTTATGGTGGCTATGAAATAAGGTTGAGATCCCTCACCGGAAGGCGCTCCGTGCGTGATCTTCTCACAGTTGAAGGCCCAAGCTGATACGATCCTCCTCTCTTCTGGGCTGAAGTCCGTCACTCTTCCCGCACTCTTGAGCTTGACCAGCTGCACCATGGCGCCGCAGAGGCAAACGGCGAACGATGCCGAGCTGCCAGTGCCCGCCCCGACGGTGAGATCCGTCGTGACGCTTACGGAGAGGTCGGCGATTCGCGAGGAGCTGGCGAAGATGCCGCCGAAAGCATACAAGAAGCCTCGGAGCGAGCTCTTCTGGTTACTCGGCAGGTCGTCGAAGGCTGGTCTGACTTTACGGAGCGCCTCGTCGACCTTTCTGAGATGGACGTCGTGGTCCAACTCTTCAGGTCGCGTCCAGTCTTGTGGATTGTCCCCCGATGTTATTGAGAACAAGTCGAAGACCGCCTTCAAAGATAACTTCTCGTGCAAACCGACGTTCGGGAATTCGACGTGGATTTTGGGATCGTCTGTCGGTGGGAGTTCCTGAAAGAGTTTTCTCGTGTGATTACCCCTCTTGATTTGACGAAACACTTTTGGAAACGATGTCCGATATAAATTTTCCTTTAAATTTTATTGTGCACGTCCATGGGTGGCAGTAATCACTTATGCTCAGGTGAATCGCATGTTCTCTCTCGTTTAGAAATAAAAATGCTTCCATAATTCCGAAAGAAACATTCAACAAAAACATTCCGCAGATCATTTAAAACGAATAACCGATTGCGTAAAGACGATTTAAGCATTAAATATAATTGATGTATATGTATAACAGAGCACTATATAGAATCCAAAACGGCTGGACCGATTTTGATGAGATTTCATTGTTTAGACAATCTGGTAGCTATCGCACTAACAGATTTTATTAGTTTATTAGTGCTATCCGTACGAAACTGGGGCGAGTCGCTTGTATTGTTAAAAATTTTACCGTTATTGGCGCTCCCTCTCGGGCTACAGAGTACAAAATGAAACTATTTTAACGCCAATATTAGGCACACTTTTTAGTTAAACTTGTTTAATAGATCGAGTGACGACCTGTGCAAATGTGGGGGAAGTCGATAGAAGCAGGTGGCTGAGGGTCGTGCTTCGTGGCGATCTGTGGGATAGGCCTACGTCTAGCGGTGGTCTAAAACAGATTTAAACGATGCTGATGATCATGAATCGTTATTACAAACATGATATCACAGAGACATATGCAGGCCTGGTATCACTATCTCAATATTACATCTAAATATCTAAATGTAGGTCCCGTATGAGGATTGAACCTACAACACATCGTAAAATGCAGTCGGCTTGGTGACCAGATAATCATTGCTCACTTTTACAGTCAATTTTCGGTTAATACAAGCTTGAGATCTATTTCGCTCTTTTTATTGAACATAGCGTCTTCAAGCCATATTCATAAGCCGTTAGCCTCCATCGTGTGATAAGGAACATGCCGAGAAATTTCGACCTCACAGAAGACCAGCGTAAAGTGGAAGTATAATACTTTCGCGTTTCGTCTGGTAGCCGAAGCCCAATTTTCAAAAGGTTGTCAACGCATTTGCAAACCCTCGGGTATAGCAGATGTACATGGGCGGTGGTACTCACTTAATATCAGATGAACCAACTGCTCGCTTGGCAACTTTTCACTTAAAAAATTTTCATCATCAGCTTTTTCTTTAGTGACTTAATACGGCAATTTCTTTTTTTTGTTTAAGCTATATTGCCAACCTAACGAAAAAAGGTAACAAATCTTCGGATTCAAAGACCAAAGGCGTTCTTTATCTGTCAACCCAACTAATTTATGTGCTCTATACTTAAAATAAGTGGATGCATTCTATAAAGCACATAATAAATATATAAGTCGTAATAAACATTATATACATAAACAATCGAAAAAATAAATATCCTACATCCAAATTAAATTGTTAGAGCACTTAGATTAATGAAATCATTAATTTGCGGTCGGTGTTATTCTTGCCGGCCATTAAAAAAAATCCGTCACCAATTACCATACAGTACAAATTATAAAGCTGCATCAGTCAATCAATGAGCCAACGGAAATTCAATGAAATATCGGAGTGATGATAAGAGAAAGAAATCGTGATTAGATAATCTGTGTAACAGTCGCACACAGAGACGTAAACTCGCAATTAATTAAAATTACAATCGTTCATTTGCGAAGTAAAAGTAATGTAAAGTAACAGCTATGTCCCACTGCTGAGCAAAGACCTCTGTGCCAGACGGTATAGGGCAAAGTCCACACGCGACCCTACTGCGGAATCTGCGACCCCCCAGACTTTTATTTCGAGAATATGAAGGTTTCCTCACGATATTTTCCTTCAGCGCCGAGGACGTGACTTGTCACTTAATGTTATAATTAACAATTTCATTGCTGCCGCCACCGGAATTTGAACTAAGGTTAATCGAGCATATAATAGAATTAAAAGCGAGCGCTCGGACAGACGATATATAGCTATCAAAAGACAGTCTTAAATAATTATATTATGTTCTTACAGTTGTAACGGGTGATTTCATCACTTTGTCTAAATTGTTGTTTTTCTAAAGACTAGGCTGCATGTCCTATGAACTTTTGCCTTTTCGAAAGGCATTATTATCGTTATATATAAGCACCGCATCCTCGCGGTACTTCCCCTTATCGTAACGAGCCTGCCCAATTGTGAAACAACAGACGTAGCTGTGTAACCATAATAATGATATAAAAGAGAACTTATTCGATTTCACTGCTTGCCTAATGGAACATATAACGGAATGTATTATTCTTATATATACAGAAGTGCAGGTAGCGATTTGAGATAATTACCTTGATGGCAACGGTAGACCTTAACCCCAGGGCGACCGCCAAAGCCGTCTTCCCGTACAATACAGAATGCTCCCCATGTATTATAACCTTTCCAGGCGCAGACACTTTTATGGATTTTCCCTCCATTTTTTATGCAGTTTGTCACACGCGCGCTTAGCTCGGACACATAAAGGTTAAATAAAACCACAGAGTCTATATCATTCTAATGTAATGTACAAAAATCAAACATAGGTATCACTGTTGCTTCCACTGTTCAACTGTTAGGGTCTTTTGCGTGAACGCGTGTATCGTCTTTAGCTCCTCTTGAAGCACTGCGTTTACTAGTCTGCGAAATGGAAAGCGGATTAATGTTTCTTTCTTGTTACGTAATTATGTTCGACCAGTGACATTTACGATCGTTGCTTATTCTTTGTGGTTGTACAACGTAACAAAAAAAAATTGAAAATAGAGCCTGACCTTAAAGAAAGTAATGAGAAAAAAATAGCCGGGGTATCATTAAGCGACGTTATAAAAGTACAACGACTGAGATTAATTAAATTAATTAGCTGTATTTTACATTAATTGATTTAGTCGGAATGCGGGATAAATAATCTGTTTCGCTTTCACAGGAAAAATATTTCCTTATTTTCATTTAAAAAAGTATTATGTGCCTATGGGAAAATAATAATAGCGTAACTTTATTATGTGCCTATAAATACAAGCCGGTAAAGGTATAACTGTAAATTAACACAAGGAAATTATCACCTCAAAGAGAATAAATTTACAATTCTATGCGGTCGCAAGGCCGCTTTTTCAAGTCCATCGTTCTTCGACTTTAATGAATAGAAAAAAATACTCGCCGTATGATATTTTTGTGACGATAACGTCACGTTATTAAGTCATCTTATTTTATTTTAACTTAACAATAATAAATAATAGAATAATTCGCATAAGCAAAGTTGTGGAAGAAGCTAAGGTTTGCAAACTCAATTATTTAGATATTCGGTATTCGATTGACAAGTCGCCAATAAAGTGGGTAATTACACCAATTACGATAGCTGTATCTGCAACGGAGAAATGTAAAATTTTGTAATTTGTTCTCGAATTTATCATTTGATTTCGATATTGAACCCTTATTTCAATTCCATTATTAAATCCTACTTTTTTATTTATAAAGGATTGCAGCTGAGCGAACGGTTAGTGATGATTGCATGTTACCTCACTCTGCCGAGAATTTGAATAAGTGACGCCTCGGGGCATAGGTATCCCGCCACCTCACACACCGGACGAGAAGCAAATGTAAGCAAATATTCCGATTTCACGCCGGTCTTCTTTGAGACCGTTGTAATTTGTACCCGTTCGAGATGGTCTATTCCTGCCGTAGGAGCTGTTATCTAAGCTGTTGTTATTTAAAATACCATAGACACCTATTTTTTTGTTTTGGTGGCAACCGAGCTGGCAGTTCACCTGATGTTGTGATAACCGCCGCCCATGGACATTTGCAACACCCGTAGGATTGCAGATACGTTTTAATTAAGTGGGCCCCGGTTAGCGGAAGAAACGCAGAAGTGTAACACTTCCACTTAACGCCGCTCTTCACTGAGTTTGTGGTAATTCCCCGTACGGACGTTCATGGGCACGTCCGTACGGGGGGAACGAATGGTCGTGCAACGGCGAAGACAAACAAAATTTGATGCCAAACGCTTCCCCACCACCGTCTTTGCTTGTTAAAATAATTATTTACCTATGCCGCGCTAATAGGGGCTTCCCCTGAAACTTGTCGGAGACAATGAGCGCCGAGAACTTGGCCCCGCAGCCGTCGCTCTCATCTGTCACTTCCTGTTAATGAAAGAATAAAACAACTGCGTCAAAACTTGACAGCAAGTGCGTCAAGAGCGAGATAGCTGTTCGCTTTTGCCCTTACAGGTCCCGACACGACAAGTGGCAAGCCCCATGTCTATGTTGTTTGAAATCAAATTACTATCACATTAAACCCAAATTTAATTTGTCTATGGTTCTAGTAGAAATTGCTTTATATTTATTATAGTACCTCAGTGGTAGGGCCCGCAAGTGTTCGCTGTTGCACGCATGGGCAGGTCCATCCGGGTAAGTACCACAACCACAGAAGACCGGCTTGAAGTAGAAGTGTTACACTTCTGCGTCTCATGAGTGAGGTGGTCAGCAACTCTACGGGTGTGGCAAATAACCATCGGTGGCGGTTATTACTTAACATCAGGTGAACTGCCAGCTTGTTTGCCATTTTCTCACATAAAGTAGATTTATCCAAGTTTTTACTATTGAAAAGCTAATAATATGTTTTAAAATTTGATTGACAATTTTTAATATATATACATTATAGTTAGTGTAATAAAATGTATTTTTCAATGTGCTAATTTTTTTTATGAAATTTTAGTTATAATTGCTTATTTAATATTTAAATGAATATTAAGTATACTATTACTACATGTAGTATTTTACTCAATGTATTTGATGTAATAATAAGATTAAAAAAATTAGAATACATTGAAATAAAAGACATAAAAAATAAAACACCCGTCATATAAATATTTGATCAGTTTAATTGATTAAAAACAAACAAAATACCTTTTACCAGTTATTTGGTTTTGACTTTTTGGATACCTGGCAAACACTTTGGCATTGAAAATTGTTGGTAATTAAAATAAAGGAAAAACAATATAAAATGTGAACATGAGTAAACCGAAATTAACAAGGGAAAAAGGTCGGGAAATTTGGATGGTGGTTTAACAAATAATATGCTCAGTGTCAACACTAACATACCAAGGAGGGAAAAAAAGAAATAAAGGCTGACAAGCTTAAGAAACATAGAGCTCTCTTGTTTGTTTTGCTGTATCGTTTTATAAACTATATTTGCATTAAGGAATGTAAAAAGCCCAGCATTTGGTTGTGAAAGCTTCAAAGCAATATTATAGATCCCTAAATATATCAAAGTTGTTGATATATAAGGTATTAGAAGTCCATCTTTAAGGAGCAAAGGTAACATACTGAAATTTGAGACCAGCAAAAACCAGAAGCACATGTATGGATCGTCGGGTAAATGTAGTGCAACGGGTATAGCCACCAGTAAAATGGTCTTCTCGTGAACTTGAAAGGAAAACAGAAAGAATGCCAAAGCAACATTTATAAGAGACAGTACAAATTTCTTCTTATTAATCCTAAAGAACAAATCAATGCAAGACGGCAATGCAGCTACTGCAGTGGTAATCAAGCAGATTTTGGCCATTTTTTCATTGGAATATAGGTTTTTCAGTTTAATAAATACATTAATGAAACACCATACATTTGACACTTTATCCTCAAAAACTCCTCTGTTTAGAGGAAATAGCCTGTGTAATACTTGGGTTGCATTTTCCCATGAACTTAGAAACGGATACCATATAATAATGAAACAACATATTACAGCTACAGCCAACTTGTTAAACTGACTAATAATATAAAATAGTTTTCGCTTAGGTGGTACATTAATAAAACATTTTCTAAGGAGATAGAAAAAGAATGGTAGAGAATGATACAGTTCCATTTGTTTATAATTCAATGCAAAAACAAAGAATATAGTCGCTAATATATCATTTTCTATAGCTATCACATAAAATGTAGCCCACATAAATAATCCTAATGACAAACTGTTGTACTGAAAGTGACCATGGTCTATTAAAATTAATCCTGGATATGTTATGAGAAGAGTAGAAGAAACATCAGTCCTTTTGAACACATTCTTCTCCTCTTTAGGCTTCACTCGTTCCGCGTCTATACAAATACACAATGCGGCTGTCACAAAAAAATATAAATCACCAAGGAACACAGTCCAGCGCATGAAATTTTTATGATTCTCGTTCTCGTAGCCTCTGGATGCGAAGAGCCGCACGGATTCCGGATCCAACCAGTCCCCAACTACGGCGATCAGTAGAGTGTGGTATGCCGTCAGGGGCGGATAGTCCAGCCCCCAGTATTCCAGGTCGTTTTGAGTAGTGTTGCGGTACCAGTTCGCGACCGGCGTGTGGAGTGTTATTTCTTGCCAGTGCCGCTGCGCCTCGAAGTCTCCGTACATCGGCGGAGTCTTGTAACCGGAATATGGATACGCCGCAACGCACCATCGTATCAACAACGCGAAAAGTACACCCGGTAACAAAGCGTCTTTGGATATCACGAATTTATCTGGATCAGACTTTTTTGCCATGCTTGTTGATTTTGCACAATACTAACATATAACACGCACGTTCATTCATTAAAATTTATCTGTAACGCGACGAATATAGTAGTCAAATTTTTGACAGATAGTACTTACAACGTGAACGGCTTCCAACTCCTTGACTAATTTCTCTTTAATATACGCTTCAGTATACACCATACTTATCGCTTCGTTAATAAAACGTGTTAAAGTGAGAAGTTTTATTTACCTTTAACGGAATTATTGTATATTTCACGGCGAACTGTTCTCCTGACACTTTAGTAGAGGTTAAGTTCACAGATACAGTAAGATTATTAATTATAATTAAATGGGAAATTGTTTATTGTTATGACATTGATTTACATTTTTTGTAGTGTATTTTGCTGTTACATCAGTTTTTACAACGACGTCGAATAACTTTCGCAGGCAGACGATCCGCGAACTCAGGAGAATAAAGTAGCTGGTGTACGGCGACGATAGGAAGACTGCATCAGTTCATTCGTTTCGCTACCTGTCCGCGAACACTGTTCACGAAAATGGATAATTCGACTTATGAGGCGGGGTACAACATGATCCAAGCTCCTTTTTTTATTGTATCATTCACTGTAGACCTTTGGGAAGCCTTTACCGATCCACCAGAGGTGGCAGGTCGGTTGTGGGCGCCTAGCCTAATCCTCTTTTATGAGTGATTAAGCACAATGGCTGCCTCGACAGCCTCGGCTCGGGCCGTCACTGTTAGTAATTACACTTAGATAGTTTAGGCGAACGCTCCATATAAATAGGCGCGAGGGGCCCCGAGAGGGAATCTAGGCTTGGGCTGTTACATTATAACCGTTTAGCATTCTGACTCGAAGATTTCCAAGTGTATAATCGAAATAGGAACCAAAGTCTGTAAGGTGGTCTCTTATATCGAGATCTGAATATCGGCTTAGACCTTCACTACATAGTATAAAACAAAGTCGTACCGCTGTTTGTCTGTACCTAGAGTGATTCAAGGGGAAGGTTAACATGTTTAATACATTGCACCCGTACGAAGGCGGGGCGGGTCTTTAGTAATTAAATAAATGCCAAAAATAATAATAAAAATAAATGCTAACGAACGGTGCTGTCAAAGCCGCTGGGCTAACAGCATACTCTATTTCACAATAAAATAAGCCTTTCTGCATAATATCTTTTCAAATGCAATATAGCAATGAAAATTGGAATAAATGAATGTGAATTTTGTAGATAAATGAACAAAAACTTTCGGCGCTGCGGGTTTCGAACCTACATCTTCCAGTTTGCGCCCGGACTATTTACCAACTAATCTAACTAAGTAACCACATGGCGTGAAAATCGCGATATCTACTTCTTTATTTTCAGTAATACTTGGCGCTATTTAGTGTGCATCGTTTACAGTATGCAACACTTTACAAAGAACATTCCACCCACGATGAACATTTGAAGCCTTTGCTCCAAAAATTTTAGGGCTGATTTTTATTTTTATTTTGAATTGTAAATTCTTGTAGATAGATGCACAAAAACATTTATCTACAAACGTTTTTATGGGGATGTATGTATATTTGTATTCGGATTAACATACTTGATACTTCTCCGCTGGAGTACTGGTATCCTGTGCCGGTATTATTGAAGCTAATCGTTTTAAAATTAACCAGAAAATATATGTAATTTTCCAACATAAATAAATATGTATTATTTGTTCCGCGTGTTTTCTTAATACGTTGTCGGATAGATTACATCATTGACGTAACCGTTAAATATAAGAAAACGAAAAAGAAAAAACAAGCATTCAACGAATATATTGAAGATTTTTGAACTAAAGATAATAATTCTCTTTTTCCTTTCTTATTTATGAAATATTTAATGGGTACTTCATTTCCCGGCATTCGACATTCAGACTGACATTTTGAAAATTACAATTTTATTCCCATTTTGTTTCTTGTTTAATTTGGCCTTAACGTTTATAATTAAATGGAAGGGGAATCAGCAGCTTTAAAAACAAATTTGACAGAGTGGAGGTTCAATCAATATCCTAAATATATTTTACTTCCCATAGACGAAAATCATGATCAGATACGGCCAAACCTTAGGAATATTATTTTTTCCGAGGTAAATATACGAAAAAAGGAAAATAATATTTGAATAAATTAAATGTTGTTGTAGATATGTGTCTTAAGCTTTGTTTTCTTATTAAATAAATTCAAATATATTATTTTCCATTTTAAGGTTATACCACGTCCTCTTGAACGTAACGTTCGTCTAGTATGCGTTTCCAACGAGGCGATAGTGAATATCATGGATATGGATCCTCAGATAACAAGCCGTGAAGAGTTTCTCGAGTTTATCGTAGGCCGAAAGCTGCCATATGGCGCGCTACCAGTCGCGCATAGGTCTTGTAAAAATATATTTATGTAGCGATAGACTGTGGCGCTGCATTTCGTGGTTTCAATTTTAACCCGGGACATATCCATATATTTATACACACGTAATAAAATATGTAGAAATATGTAATAAAAGAAAATATTTCGAAAATATGTTAAGTCCATAAAAACGCGTGGTGGACTATGCCCTAATACTTACCTATTACAGCGTTTGCCCCACAGTGAGACATTTTTAAATAGCTACTTTAGAATAAAAAACATCTTAATTATATAAATCATAAATTTTATGCATAAAATTAATTAACAGATTATTTTGACTTGTTCAAATCGATTAAATCATGCCTTTCTCATACTATAGATACGGTGGCCATCAATACGGCCTATGGGTCGGTCAATTAGGAGATGGAAGAGCACATATTCTAGGAGAATACGTGAACAGGTGATTTCAAGTAATTTGTATCGTTAAGTAAAGATCTAATAACCCTGAAGGCGGGTATCTTATATTGGGATAGAGACAGTTACATTCCTATTGTGTTTATCGTGACTGATGAAGCGCATGGTTGGAAGTGCTTGGTTGGAGGGCATGGAACAAGAAAGATTCAGGTCCTATGATCATAAAGTTATTTGATAATGTAAATGGGATGTCGAATCAATTCGTGTAAATACCTACTTAAGGTCAAAAGTTAACCTGCTTGCACGCCAGTTCACGCCACCCCATTGCGCCTGTGGCAGCTGAAATGCATTTGAGAGTATAGGACTCCAATGCTTCTTAGAAAACTGATTATTGGTATGGCAATATATAATCAAGCATTTTGATGCTATATGCATATTGTGACTGTAATTGACGTGTCTAGTTTAATTTCTTCATCGTAGCAGTTTTAAAATCGATTTCGTATTAGAAAGGGGGAACGCTGGCAGATCCAGTTGAAGGGCTCCGGGCAGACCCCCTACGCTCGCATCCACGACGGTCGCACCGTGCTCCGTTCGGGAATCCGCGAAATGGTAGCCAGCGAGGCCTGCCACCACCTGGGCATTCCGACAACGCGGGCGGCTACGTTAGTCGGTGAGATCTGCTCATATATGGTGCAGTGCAAGTGAGTGCTAAAGTTTAGAGCTAGTAGAATGACTATTGCGGGGTCCTTATATTCAACGAACGGCCGTTAGTTAGATAGTCATTATGAAGTCGTTACAACGAATCGTTATGAAAGTTAGGAAGTTATGTAACTAACGGCCGACCGTTGAATATAGGAACCGGGCATAAGGCGAACGTATTTCGACAAGCTTGGTGGTATACTGAATGACGACATAAAGTGAGTGCTAAAGTTAGAACTCTGGAATGAGTTAGGCGAACGTATTTCGACAAGATTGGTGGTATAATGAAGGTCGACGTAACGTACTCGCAAGCCACGTAGATTTGTGGATGTGAAGGAAAAAGAGATCCTTAAAAAATGTACTGTATACTTCTCTGTTTTCCCCTGTATGTGTAAGCCAGTTTATGTCAGCATGTATATTAATAATTACTTTCCATTTTATAATCAAAATCAACATTAATTATAGCCCAAAATTTTCAGAATTTTGTTATAGTAATCGAAGGGTATCTTAGTATCCTATATAAGTATGAAGTTAATGACGATGTCGTAAGAAATCACAAGATTTTGAACACTGGTGAATTTTACACGTTATTGTGTAAAATTCACCAGTTGCAGTGTGCGTTTAATATTTTTTCTAGTCAACATGTTATTTAAATTAATAGAGCCACTTATACCTGGTTGGTTTTATACTTTAGTATAAGACCGTCGGCCAAAGTTCATATGACAAGACGGTAGATACAGTTGCAGATTTTCATTATAGTAGTGCTGCGTAGTAACTTCTGTTTTTGCACGCATAGGCAGGCTTGAGAACCTAGTAGAAGACTTCGAGCCAAAGTATTATACTTTCGTGTTTCGTCTGGTCCGTGAGGTAACCGGTGCAAACAAACAGTAATGGTGGACAACGCATCTACAATTCGTCAGACGTTATCGATGGCTACGGGTGGCGATAATCACTAAACATCAGGCGAACAACTCCAACTTTACGAATAAATGATTCATTGTGATCAAACACATTAGTATTTGCTTGCAGTAACAGTTGCATAAATAAAACTAATTTTCTCACATTTAGGTACTATTCAAATTTGTTGGCTAATCTTTTATTTTCTCTACAGGTCATAAGGTCATCCGCACTGTTATATCCTTATAGCAATGCAAAAAAGTGGAAAGTTTTAAATTTAATTTTGCACATAAGCATATTTTTTATTAGTCAGTGACGACTTAGTGACACGCGATATGTATTACACCGGGTGCCCGCGGCGGGAGCGTGCCGCCACTTTGCTTCGTCTATCACCCAGCTGGTTCCGTTTTGGCTCTTTGGAAATACTGGCGAAGGCCGGCGAGTTATCCGTTCTGCGACAGTTGGCAGAATTTGCTATAAAGGTTAACACACTATGCTATTACATGATTGCTAAGTTTTCACATTATATATAAATACTTACATAATTTTTAGGAAAATATTTTTTTTTATTATCTTTATTTTTATGGGGTTTATACGCCAACCCCATCGTAACTTTTACAGATCACAACAACTTGCTAAATACGAATCCTTAAAATTATATACATTTATTAAACCGGGAATTACTGTTTGTTGATTTGAACATATATTAAATATAAGACCAACATCTAATAAATTTACATATAGATCTTTAAATAGCAGTTGCCTTTTATGTCGGTTCCTTTCGCAGTCCATCAGCATATGATACACATCTTCAGTTTTATTGCATACCTCACAATAGGGTGAAGCAGCCTTTCCCATTAAGAAAGAAAATCTCTGCTTTTCTAGTGATCTTTGACAAATCGAGGTCATTAATGCGCACATTCTTATCCGAAACCCATGGCATATTCAATCATCATTTATAATTCATTAAGTTTTGTTACTATTTTCAATTATAACATCATTTTTCAGGAGTACTTTCCTGACATCCATGCTACAGATGAAAATCGATTCATTAGATTATTTTCCGAAGTGGCTCACAGAACACTGGATCTTGTTGCCAAATGGCAAGGTAAAAGAAACTAAGTTTTAGTTAAAACAATATGGTTTAAGATTAAGTGAGAGGTAGCCATATTATTATTTAGTATTATTATAATAGTCTATTTATGTAAGGTTAAACCAGCGTTATATAAATTCTGATTATTTCCAATGCTAGTTTTTTTTCTTTTGTTACGTGAAAAACATTTAGCATGAGCGATTAGTGCCCTCGAAGTAAGACATTTGATTCTTAGCTTCGACGGTCTTAGCGATGTCTGGTAATTGTTAGGATTGATCTGGAACGCAATGTGGGATAATGTCACCGCGAGAATATTTCAAGGCGATATGGAACTATTGCCGTACTTATTTGATATACTTAGCGTATACCTTTATCTGTTCCAATTTTTTTTTGCTAAATCCGCCTTTGAAAACTCTCGGTCGATTTGTGACCAGACAAGCGACAAGGTGACGTTCCACTTTCAGGTCTCGGCTTCGCCCACGGCCTTCTGAACACGGACAATATGAGCATCCTCGGCCTGACCATAGACTACGGTCCATTCGGCTTCGTCGACTCGTATGACGGCGGATTTGTGCCCAATTGCTGCGATGGTGAGGGGCGCTACGCACTCGCTAAGCAGCCCGAAGTAATTTTATTTTATTTGCGAATAGCATACTGTTTGTATTGATAATTTTATTTAAGAAACTCTGGGATATTTGAAATACAGACACGTTATACGCCAACATCGTTGGATTAAACAAAAGCACCAGCTATGGTGAAAACGCGACTAATTTATTTTTTAACAAAGTATGTATTTATCATATAGATTTAGTAAAATTTTACCCATTTCTTACCCGTTAAATGTTATAATAGTCTTCATATATTATATCCACCCAAAGGTTGCCTGGAAGAAATTGCTTTAAGTAATAAGGCTTGTACAACGCTTACGTTATGGTGGTGGTTTTTTTACCATGATGTGTGCAATAAAATATACAATCGAGTAATCAATGTATAACATGTAAGTGCACATGTATAAAGCAAGCGAAGAAAAAAGATTTAACATTTAAACATCATTCCTGTTTCGATATCCCTGTTATTAGAAAGAAATGGATAACTGCGTGATTGGTGCATGATACCGCAAGAAAAAATAAGTTTAAACAAATGTGTCGATTTATCTTTAGAAGATTTTCGAAATTGATGCGGGAGGTGTCTGAGACTAGTACATCACAATTACTACCCATCCTTCAATTCGACAGCGTTGAATGTTTTCAAATAATTTTAGATAGTGGTGTGGAATATTGGACAGTTTGCCAACTCCTTGAAACCACTGCTGACTTCGTCGCAACAGGTCCATTTATCGCACATATTGAAAACTTTGGACTCCTACTGCAAGAATAGGATACTGTAAGTGCAAGTTTCCAATAATTAAAAAAAAATTATATAATTAAAATTTTATTTCCAATTTGCTGAACCTCATCACGCTTCGTTGTGGTTTTCGTATCGGTTAAAATTTCAGAATAAAAGTCTATAACGGGAAAATAATAAAATCACTGGCCTATAAAATTTTATTAATCGTCACTACATTGTCACCAGTTAATTTTTGACCGTACAGAAATTGCCACTTGGGAATATTCATATTGTAGAATTTACATCACAGTCTATTCGAAGAGTTTATGAATTTTTTTGTTGCAGCGAGACGTTCCTAATGAAAATCGGTTTAAAGGAGGAGCGTTGGGGTGACGAGCAACTCGTCGAGAAGCTTCTGGACATGATGCAGCAGACCGGCGCTGACTTCACTTCGACGTTCCGTCAGCTGTGTGAGGTGTTTAGGGACAAGATAGTGGTCCCGTGACTACAATAAACTTTTAAGCAAATGCAGTAACTTTTGGTTTTGCTTGAATGGTCAGCGCGGTCGGGAGAGTACTACTGCTACTATTACTATCGAGAGTAGTAGAGATACTAGTACTAGTGGAAGTATTTTAGTATTTTGCGATTCATTCTGCGAATGAAATAAGAGAATCCGGAGGTCTACTCTCAGTGGTTGGCCAACCGAAATCCATAGTGGTTAGAAAAAAGTCTGGACACTAAGAATGAAAACCTGTCTCTTCTGTGTTACCGAAGTTTGAACCTTGTTGTAACTGATTAGATGCTATTAGATGCTATTAGATTATATTTCACTGTAATGATATGGTTTCGTCTTTTTTTTTCAAATCCATCGTGCGCTAATGGAGCCCTTGAGCACTGCTCCTGGACATTTTTCTAGTTGGAGCCAAATGAGATGGTCAGTGAAACAAAATTAAGGGAGAAGTGGTCGTTGAGGCGTCTCTCGTCTCACTCTTCGTGGGGCTGCTGGTTGGACCAGTATCGCGAACGCCTGGATAAGGAAGCTGGTTAGCTTTGATAAAATTTATTTTATATTATTTACGCATTTTTATAGTTTAATCGAATTTGTTTAACAATATGTACCACGTAATTCCTTCCACAATAAAAGTTATACCTTACTTGAACGAATGTCAATAGTTAAGAATATTTGCTAATGTGTTTGCCGTGACAGAATTATAAATTTACGATGTCTACTCTAAGACTTCCTACATTTTTTCTAAACGATGTTGACATTCCACCGCACACATCCATCTTTTATTTAGTCATATTTATTAGTCACAATCTGCCCCTCTCTTTTTTATCAGGAATGGGCAGGGTATCACGTGGAATTTTATGTCATTAATTATACTCTTCAATCCCTTCAAAAGACAGTTTATATACAAAAATTTAGGTACACTTGGCCGGTTTTTAATCTTGTTGTTGCATCATTTCTCATATTTTATGCAGTTTAACACTTAACTTTTTTTTTAAGTGGACGCAAGCTCTCTAGGTATATTCGAAGATGAACGACGCCGTCGCATGCTCAGCGTGAATCCGGCCTACGTGCCGCGCAATTGGATGATTCACGAGGCCATCCTGGACGCAGAGATGGATAACTTCGACAAAGTAAGGCTGCATACACATTTCTAACCCAATTTTATTTAACGTTTGACGAACAATTGAACGTATACAATTGAACAACATACCACAAAATTTCACTGCAACAATTACAAGTATTTACTATATATATTTACATATCAAAATATATTATGATATATTCTTAAATGATGATTTCCCAGGTACGTTATCTGTTGGAGGTCATGCGACGTCCGTATGAAATTCAACCAGAAGCGGAAAAACGCGGCTTCTCATCTCAGCCGCCACAGTGGGCGTATGCTTTGAAAATCAGTTGTTCTAGCTGATAAATCAATGATATTTTTTTATATAACTATGTAAATCGTAATAAATTAAACCAGTTTTCACTTATTTTTTCATTGATTATAAATCTCCACAAAGACTTATTAGAACGGATATCAGATTTGAACAAAATCAATACATGGTTGAAGCAATTATTAAAAAATATGTAACAGATATTAAAAGGACTTAAGTAACAATAGTAAAGCTACGTAAACATGGAATAGGTGTATCACGTGTAATGTGTGAGTCGGGGTCCAAGGACCTCATGTTCGCCGGCAAACCCACTGTGTCAGGTGTGGTCATGTGTATCTCTGAGAATCAATGCGGTGTGTGATATGACACAGCGCCGTGGCAAAATATCAGTCATAGATCGGGTCACTATCGGTCTCTCACTGCGTTCCGGCTACAGAGTTATCAGACGGCAGCAGAAGAATTAAATTATTCAACGCGTTCGTTAATTCGTCAGGATCATCCTCCCGATTTGGTCCACTATCGATCGTGAGTTATATTGAAGCTAAACTTCGAAACCGCTATTTCAGATAAGGTGCTGTTGGATCGTGCTATGTTCAAGTGAATTGTTCATTTTTGGTTAAAAGGGGTCGCGGAGATGCCTCGGAGTTGATTTTTTTTATGTGAAAAGTTTTCAAACGAGCAGCCGGTTCACCTGATGTTAAGTGATTAACGCCGCCCATAGAAATCCGCTACACCCGACGGTTTGCAGATGCGTTGACAACCTTTTTGGAAATTGAGCTCCGGCTACCTCACTAGAGATGGGTCGTATCGCTTTTTCTGAGTACCGTATCTGAATCAGATTTCGATTTCAAATATCAGATTTCGAATAAGTAATATAAAAATGATTGATTTTAACATCTTATATATCGCTTAATAATTGACTTTAACATATTCTTAACACGCAATCATGAGTGACAATATTTTTATAATTTGTGTAAGAAATAATACATTCAGCATTATAACTTAGGGCAGAAGAATTTAAAATATACACACAAAGCACATAAGCCTTGGTCTGATTTCCACCCAAGCAGCACAGCACTATTAAATTATATTTTTTCTTTTTGTGTACTTTTATTTTTTTCCAAAAATATGAATAAAATTTAACTAATAAAAATATTCACAAAAAATTTTCCTCCTAAAACATTTCCATAGTAAGTTGCCATACGTGCTAGGTACCAATGCAATCCAGCTCAAGGCTAAACAAAATTTAAAGACATCGTTAATATCGTAATTCGTATTTAAATGCAACAAGATTCAAAATTACTTAACTGCGCGCTTTGTCGCCCGTTACGGCTCAAGGCTAAACAAAACAAGAAAAATATAATAATATCGTTGTAGTATTTAATTAAAACGGATCTTATCTGCATGATTTTAAGATTCAAAATTACTTAACTTATTCATAATATCTGTTTAAAAATCTGATATTGTGCCTTGCTTGCCGTACTGCTCTAACTAGTGTAATATTTGTATCTCACGCGCTTTGTCGCTCAAAATCTGTTTAAAAATCTGATATCGTGCATTGCTTGCCGTCCCGCTCTAACTAGTGAGTATTTATATCTCACGCGCTTTGTCGCTCGATATCTGATATCGTTCATTACTTGCCGTCCCGCTCTAACTAGTAAGTATTTGTATCTCACGCGCTTTGTCTCTCGAAATCTGTTTAAAAATCAGATATTGTGGCAAACCGTATGATATCGCGATTCGTGTCGGTATAGCTAGCGAGCACGGTACATCAGATTTCGGAAATATCAGATATTGTAAAATACATAGATATTGAACGAGCCAGTAAGCGATATTCGGATATTGTACTAATATCTAGATTTCATATCTGATACGATTTGTATCGCCCACTTCTATACCTCACTCACCAGACGAAACGCGACATACTTCCACTTTACGCCGGTCTTCTGTGAGGTCGTGGTACTTACCCGGACGAGCCTGCCCATTCGTGCAACAGCCGAGGATGCTGCGTGGCTCTACCACCGTTAAATGATCACGGCATTTTTGTCATATCACGGTATTTCTGCATACCAGCTACGTTATTCTGAGTCCTCTACCGGCGAATCTGTTGCAGTCGCCGAGTTCACAGCAAATGTATACACTGACAAAAAAAATTAATGTTACACATTGTATTTTTTTGCACATTTTGGCTGAAAGTTTTAATTTCATACAAATCGTAGGTACAAAAATTGTCAGTTGTCAAAATAATATGTCAAATTGTCATGGTCAAAAACAATGATCGTAATTCGTAAGCAAAACATTATTATTATCATGTGTTTCGTAAGATGGTGCGGTGATAATAAGTAAAATGCTAAATCATTAAAATTAATCATTATAGTCTATCCTCCTCATGAAGAAAGCATTTTGCGTTGTAGTTCCCTTGTTAAATGTGAAGCGATCAATGATGATTGGAGGCGAAAGGCAATTAATTCGTGATTTCAAACATTGGAAGTTTCATAATCCTCCAAACTATGCGGAATTGCCCATAAGCGATGATCCAGAATACAACATACCGGTTGCTGTTAAAGATGCAGTATTTTCTAAGGTCACCTATTAATGTTTAATGTATTTTGTAGTATGAAGTTGTGTTTTTACAAATATTTTGTATGTATAACTGTTATGCAACATTTTCATGCAATCTAACATATCTTCAGGTACCAACGGAACCACTTACTGGGAAACTGCACTTGGTCTGTATGTCAGAAGAAGCAATGAAGGACATACTGGACTTAGATCCAGAAGTTGCAGAAACTGAAGAGTTTGTTGATTTTGTAGCTGGAAAGCATCTACCAGATGGAGGCCTCACAGTCTGTCATAGGTGCGACTTGTCATGTGAATGGTTTTTTTATGGTTATCAATATATGTTAAAGACAAATGTGTAATATGGAATTTTAGATATGGTGGATATCAGTTTGGTTATTGGGCAGACCAACTTGGTGATGGTAGAGCACATATCCTAGGAGAGTATATAAACAGGTATTCATTTTGACAATTTTATTCTTAATTTGTAAAATGGACATTGGAGGATAGTTTTTAAACATGTTAAACAAAAAACATGGACATATTAATTTGTAAATTTTCTGGTAAATATATTGAAATTTTCAATTAAGCCTCCATAGATGTACCAATTATTCGTAATTTAGTTCTTGTTCTCAGTAAATATTAAGTTAAGAATTAAAAAATTAACTTAATTATGAATGTCTTATATTCTCTATGACTTGTAAAGTAGCTTTGCTTTGGATTTAATTATTTATTTGGGCATAATAATAGTCAGTTGAATTTTTAATCTAGTTTTGTACATGTACAGCAAAGGTGAGTCATGGCAGCTGCAGCTGAAAGGGTCTGGCGAGACTCCGTACTCACGCTTCGGTGATGGAAGGGCAGTGCTCCGCTCATCCATTAGGGAGATGATAGCTTCAGAGGCCTGCTACCATCTTGGAATCCCTACTACCAGGGCTGCTGCTTTGGTGGGTAAGATATATGACTTTAAACATCCAATAACATGGACTCATCCATGGTGCTGATATCAGGCATGCATGTTCTAAAGTCTGGCATAAAAACGATAGTGCATCTTATCATACTGGCTTTACAGCTGATGAGTTGTATAATTTGGTGACATGGGCATAATAAGCATTGATTTGCAAAAGATAGCTCCAAAATCAAACCATAAAGTGTGTATTTTATTATGAAAAGGAAAGCTTCTAAACTAATAGGAAATTGATGTGAAGGTGTTAGTCTAAATGAATAGAGATATAAAAATATCCAGTCTGCTAAGTTAAGGTATATGTATCACAATCTCACCCAAGACTGCTGTGAAATATTAGTGTTATACTTCTGCGTTTCGTCTGGTGAGTGAGTATTTAGAGCCCACTTTATTACTAGGTAGCAACACATGTGCAACCCTAAGGGTGTTGCAACTTTCGATAGGCAGCAGTTATCTCTTAACATCCGGTGAACCGCCAGCTTGCTTGCCAGCCTTCAACATAAAAAAATCTCTTTTTACACAAACAGTCAGTTTGTGTAATGTGGTAAACTCTTTTTATGCATTTAAATTAAGTTTAGCTTATGTACATACACTAATTGTAGCTATTTTTCATTGACAATTGATTCTTCTGTAACGCATACGTTTTATTTGCGCCAGTGAGCGATGACCACAAAGTGTGGCGAGATAAAGACTACAGGGGCGCCGCCCGCTTGGAGCGGGCGGCCGTTGTACTAAGGCTGGCGTCCGCCTGGTACCGGCTCGGCTCTTTCGAGATCCTGCTGAAGAGGAAAGAGCCGCACACGATGCGGCTGCTGGCCGACTTCGTTATCAAGGTTGGTGGGGAGAGAACTGGGAGGGAATTAGGGGTGGGGTTGAGGCTAGTAGACAAGCAAGAGACTAGATGACGATGTGGCGCAGTTGCCAAGGTGTTGGCTTCGGCGCTGGCGGTCGTGGGTTAGATTCCCACATGAAACTATATGTATGACCCACAGATAATTGTTTCGGTTCTGGGTGTTTGTTCACGTGAAATTTACGTCTGTGAAACTTCCTTACACAATGGGAGAGTGTTCTAGGTTGCAGTGGTCATTTGGACTTACTATCCAACCCCCTCCACGAATAATACGAATATAATACAGGAGACTTAAATGACAGACTACAGAGTGTGACAGTTGAAGTGAGGATCAAGGGGGAAGTCAAGAGAAGAGGAGGATGGAAGTAGAAGGAGTGAAACTGGTCGCATGCTACTGCACCTGAGTAGTGCCAGAGGAGTTGCTTCACTTAGAAGAGGCTTAGAGTAGCAGGGTTCAAGAGAATTTTTATTTGATACTAGCTGACTCGGAAAACGTTGTTTTGCCATATAAATTATTTCTAGAAGAATTAGAACGCGTTCAAAAATCGTTTGTCAGGTTGACAGGTACATTTTGTATGGGAAAATAAAATTGTTGCTGTTTCGATTTTCCAAGCAATTTTTCCATAATTTCTCATCGTTTAAACCTTCCCTGGATTGTCACGAATATATCAAAACCAGAATTAGCCAAATCGGTCCAGCCGTTCTCGAGTTTTAGAGAGACTAACGAACAGCAATCCATTTTTATATATAAGAAGACTAGCGGACCGGACAGACGTTGTCCTGTATACACGACTTGAATACGATAACGATAAAAAAAAGTAATGAAAAAATTGTGACCAACCATTCTCGAATCAATCTGAAGACACCCAAAAAATTTCATAGAATTCGGTCCAGCCGTTTAGGAGGAGTTCAGTGACACACACATACAGTAGAACTATATATATAATGATAATCTGCCAAAAATGTGGCTAATCAATCTATCATTTTCCAGCACCACTTCCCGGATATAGTCCCGGATGATCCTGACAAATATGTGAAGTGGTACTCAGAGGTGGCGCACAGGAACCTGGACATGGTGGCAGCATGGCAGGGTAAGCTATATAGAATTCGTGCAAACCACGAGCAAAAATAACAGCTCATGCTCATTATGGTCCAAAAATAAAATAATTTAAAGATTTATTAATAGAGATTAATTATTATATGATTATATTAGTAACATTTCACAATTGTTTTCCTTCACCGCGGAGCACGTGATAAGTCAGCACTTAAAGTTAAAAACTTCATTGGTGCCAGCACCGGGGATCAAACTCAGGTTGCTCGAGTATATTGAATTAAAGGCGAGCGCCTGGACACTGAGCTATCACGGCTCGTACCACGGCTCGTGTGCATATACCGATTCTGATTTCTGATTCTCTGATTTTTTTTAAAACATTGCCCTTACTTTGGGATAACATTATCCTGTGTTGTAGGGCCGTTTTACAAACATAAATTTCACGTGGGCAAACACCCAGATGTGAAACAACTATCTGTGGGTCGCACAAATAGTTGTCCCGTGTGGGAATCGAACCCACGCCCCCGACGCCAAAGCCAATAAATACCTTGGCAACTGCGCTACGTAGTCATCATCACACTACGTCATCATACTCACTAAGTCTTATGATTCAATAGTTGACGCATCCCTCAGCCATCAGCTTTTTATTTCGAACCCTCATAACTGAGCAGTGTTAACTTAATATTCATAATCATAAGCACTATCTGTATAGAGGCGTAGTCAATGGTAGTCAATGCTATTTTAATTATTTTTTTTAACACACACACACACACACACACACACACCATATACACTCACAGAATACCGTAATAAAGTACATGAGATTGTGCTTAAGCGTTTCACGCGTTCCATTAAGGTGTTTGGACGTTCACGATTCTTCATTAAAAGCGCATATTGTTGCTTCCACGCATTGGCGTTTGTTTCATGCGCCGATAGAATTGTTCTGGGCTTCATCAGGGATGTCAAGGATAACCCATTAAGTTGTTCTGGGCTTCAACATTGACGAAAGAACAACTAGGGCGGTAGGGATTTTCTTATATGAAAAGTTGCCAAGCGAGCAGACGGTTCACCTGATGTTATGTGAATACCGCCGCCCATGGACATCTGCTACACCCGAAGGTTTGTAGATGCGTTGACAACTTTTTTGAAAATTGGGCTCCGGCCACCTAACTCACCATACGAAACGCGAAAGTATTAAACTTCCACTTTACGCCGGTCTTCTGTGAGGTCGCGGTACTTACCCGGACGAGCCTGCCCATTCGTGCAACAGCCGAGGCTGGTGCGTGGCCCTGCCTCGTTAATAGCGCATGTCCTCGCCCCCAGGCATTGGCTTCGCGCACGGCGTGCTGAACACGGACAACGTGAGCGTGCTCGGCCTGACCATAGACTACGGGCCGTACGGCTTCGTCCAGCACTACTACGAGCACTACACTCCAAACACGTCGGACGACGCCGGTCGCTACGCTTACAACAGGCAGCCCGATGTGCGTTATACAGTGTTGGTTCGGTTAGAGTTCTGCTTTAAGAAGAGAGAGAGAGAGAGAGAGAGAAAGAAAGAAAAGAAAGAGAGAGTAAATATTCAGTCCCACTATATACAAAAGCCCACTATATACATGGGGTGGCGTGGCGTGGCGCAGTTGCCAAGGTATTGGCTTCGGCGTCGAGAGTCGTGGGTTCGATTCCCACACGGAACAACTATTTGTGTGACCCACAGACAATTGTTTCGCATCTGGGTGTTTGTCCATGGCAAATTTATGTTTGTAAAATGGCCTTACAACACAGGATAATGTTATCCTAAAGTAAGGGCAATGTTTTTAAAAAAAGAAAAAGAAAGGGTATTAGGCATATTTCTAGTGCTTAATTTAATTTAATACTTTTAATATAATTAACAAACACATTCCTCGGTTCTTGATTTACTTATGCCCGTTTCCACTGCCGTTTGAGTGTCTTAAGTGTGAAGTTAAGCGGTGATGAAAACGAAACTGGCACTTAAATTTTTTTAGGTGTCCCTTAAATTTAGGGATCGATGGTGACGGGCATTAATTATCTATCCGCTACCGTTAAAAAAATATTGGTGTTAATTTCTTGTATTTACGCGATTACACGTAATATAATGACTGTCAGATACAGTAAGTCTGTCCCGTGACCATGAACGCTGTAAAGGGTTCAAAACGTCGGGAATTAAAATTAAAAATGAATGCGATAAATCCGTAAAAGTTAGTTTCATTTAAATATTGGTGTTTTAAAACGATTGAATTTGAATTTTCCAGATAATGTTATGGAACTTGGAGAAATTCGCCGAAGCACTGGAGCCGATATTGACGGACGAACAGAAGAAGAAGATAGAGGATGTTCGAGCTGGTCTTGGTGAATACATCGAGAAGAAAGTGAGGTAAATAATAATATTAACAATAAAGTTTATTTAAGTCCAAAGTAACATTATAAGTATTTACAATTATCGAATTAAAATTTAATTATTAGGTAGGTAAATTGAGATTTACAATCATCATGCGATTCTCTCCTGATCCATAATAGCTCATTGTCCGGGCGCTCGCTTTAATTTAATACACTCGAGCTATCCGATTTTTATACCCGGCCGATTTTTATACACCACTTACGTGCTCGGCGATGAAGGAGAACACTGCGAGGAAAACTGCATGCACATTACGAAATAATAACAAAACAATATTTCGAAGATATGTGTAGTCCGCAGTGGGGCCGCGTGGTGGGCTATGACCTGACACCCTCTGTGCAGAGGAGGCCTTTGCCGTTTGCCTTTTATGCGATCCTCTCCTGTGGCTGTGTCGTTACGGTAACAAGTAATTTTTAAATTTCTCACTAACGAAAAACAAAACCGATTTCAAATATCTCGCTCTGTATTAACTTTATAATTGATCTTCGGGAGATCCCTAAGTATCTGCGGAGCCCAATGTCCAATACCGATGAAACTAACACCACCGTAATGGTCCCACCACATGGGAAGCATTGGCTTTAAAATAATAAAAAAAAGAATCTTAAAATATGTAGAAAAAGTGCGAAAAGATTGTCGCCGCTGTGGGAATCGAACCCACGTCTTCGGCATTCGCGGCCTGACGCTCTAGCCACTGAGCTAAACGGCTGATTACCACACCGACGAAAATCTTAACGCATTCTTCCACATTGTTTTCTTAGCATTTGAAGCAATGCTTGGCGCCATCTATTGTTTATATCCTTTCCAGCATACAAACAACTTCGAATATCGTTTTACAACGATAATTCGAACGAGAGATGTCGCCATTGCTTTTTTAGAAATTTAAATTTTTTATAGTGCATCAGTACTTAAATACAATCTTTTCGCACTTTTTCTACATATTTTAATGTTCAATCTTAAGTGCAATGATTAGCACTATAAACAATTTAAATTTCAAAAAAAGAATCGTCAAAATTGTTTCGCTCCGTCGAAAGTTGTTATGTAACAAACCTCCTCCTTTTTTGAAGTCGGTTGAATACTCGTTGTAAGTGAAACTCTCTTGAATTGTATAGACCACAGACAAGTCTTCGTGGTCTGAACAATTTAAGAGCACGGTTCTCTCGACTTGCCACAACACTGCTTAGGCGAGATTAGAAAGTTTCGACAATCGATCTCGACCGTATTAGACACGCGGTTGCGAGAGAAAATTATAGTGGCGAAAAATTAAATAGATAGATTTAATAGACTATTATATTACATAGTTTTTAATTTTAGATAAATGTTTGATAAATAAAAAAAATATGTCCATAGATAAAAAGTAATTAAATGCAATTAACAAAGAAACATCTTTCATTACGATTATTAGATATTTTTGTTGAATTTATTTTGATATATTTTGTATTGTATTGTTTTTTTGGCTGCTTGTAGATAAGTCAATCTCGGTATGCAATATTAATATTTCTTATACTTTATTTAGATACATATAAGTAAAGTAGTCCCGTGATACCCCAAGGACTCCGTGGCGCAGTTGCCAAGGTATTGGCTTCGGCGTCGGGGGTCGTGGGTTCGATTCCCACACGGGACAACTATTTGTGTTACCTACCGATAATTGTTTCGCACTCGGGCAAACTAATTTATTTACAGTAAAACGCACTTACAACACAGGATAATGTTATCCTAAAGTAAAGGCAAGGATTAAAAAAAAATACAGCTCAAAATGTTTTTATTGTGGTCCTTTTTAGGCTAGCCTTTATCAATAAACTCGGTCTGCTGACCTCTCGTGATGGTGACGCCAGATTGGTGCAGGACCTTCTGAAACTCATGCAGCAGACCATGGCTGATTTTACATCAACATTCCGGCAGATGGCGGAGGTGAGTTTGCCTTTCTGTTTGTATTTTGTTCTCGTTTGTTCTTGAATATATATATTTGAGATAGAAATATATGTATATATATATATATGAAATATATGAAATATATATATATGTATATATGTAGGTTTAATTATTTAATAGTTGAGTAAAAGATGATTTTTGAACGAAGTATTGTGTGAATGAGAAGGATGGATGACGTAAAAGGGATTGAGGGACTTTTCGCAACGACGCCACGAACGAGTAACGTGTATCTGTGTCTTAAAATGTATTAATTTAAAGATGAAAATAGTAACAATATACTCAAAATAAAGATTTTATTTATCCTACGCCTACAAAATTCTCGTCCGGGATAACGGGCTTAAAGTGATTTTTGGGTATTTTAATAACGAGAGAAAGTGATCACGTACGCCAGCCGCCATTACGTGTTACAAAGGAAGCGTATTAATTGTCACTTTAAAATAACGACGATAATATTTACGACGGTTAAAGATGATGGAGAGCAATAACGACGATGGTAAATATAATCCATTCTTCCTGATGGATTCCCTACCTAAGTTTACGGGGGATGATATGACGTATTCCTCTGCAAAATGGACGCAGGATATTGAAGACAACGCAGATATTTTCGGATGGAACCAACTAAAACGGCTAATTATCGCGCGGAGGTGCTTGGCTGGTACTGCACAATTATGGCTGAAGACGGAAAAAGCATTTAAAACTTATGATGAATTTAGAAAGGCTCTGATGAAGGAGTTTCCTGATACTATAAATTCCAAACAAATGCATGAAATGATGAGTAATCGGAAAAAGCAGGCTAATGAAACGGTTTATCAATACATGCTTGTCATGAAAGAATTGGGAAAAAGGGCAAGTTTGCAGACTACGTCACCATACAGTATATAGTCGATGGCATAAACGACTACGAATCAAACAAATTATTATTCTATGGTGTTACATCCTATTCAGTGCTCAAGGAGAAAATAGCATTGTATGAAAGTTACAAACAGAAAACCAAGAAGAGTACTATAAGCAAAAGAGAAGTAACAGTAATGAAGCCGATGGCACAACGGGAAACTGGAGGACAGACATTCCAACGTTGTTACAAGTGCGGTGAGAAAGGGCATCTGTCGAGTTCCTGTCAAAGAGGTGTAAAATGTTTTAGGTGTAATGAGTTCGGTCACATAGGCGCAGAATGTAAGAAAACGGAACCTGTAATAACACAAATGCATGCAAAGCGGGATCGACGATCGATGTTCATTCAATATCCCACGCTGACATCAGAGGGCGCTAGTTCCGCTAACGTGGACGTGAATGAAGAAGGTGAACGTGAACGAAATGTAATGAGTTGCGATCCGAAGGAAAGAGCGAGTGCCTGCATATCAAATGTTTGTGACAGTAAGGGGATTCAGTGTCAACTTCAAAAAACGTCAGTCTGTATTTAATGTAGATAAAGGTGATGCGATAATTAATAGAAGCATAAAAAATGTAAAAATAGGTAATTTCGTGACGAACTGTTTAATTGATACGGGTAGTGATTTAAACTTAATAACTTTAAATTTCTTTTCTAAATTAAATATTGGATATACACCTGTCAGAATGTTGCTTACCGGGTTGGGTTGTTCACAAGTATTTTCAATCGGTAAATTCGACACGGAATTAATTATCGACGATCACCATTACAATATTAATTTTTATATTGTACCAACTAATGTAATGCCACATGATGTAATATTAGGTCAACCATTCTTAGTAAATACTGTTACGGTTATAGACAAAGGTGCCGTTGAAATTAGGCCTCCATGTTACGATAGTTTATATCAAAATGCTATATGTCTTTTTTCCAGTAATGATGACCAATGTAGTGCGGTTAAAGATATTATTAATAATTACGTACCTTTGAAGACCAAAGATGCACCCATTAGGCTGAAAATTGTTCTAAAAGATGATATTCCAGTTACACAACGGCCTAGAAGATTAGCTTTAACCGAAGAACTATTAGTGAAGCAGCAAGTTGATGATTGGTTGAAGATGGGCATCATTCGTCCTAGTTATTCTGAGTATGCAAGTCCCTTAGTATTGACAAAGAAAAAAGATGGCAGTGTACGAGTTTGCGTAGATTATCGAAAGATAAATCAGAAAATGGTGAAAGACGAACATCCATTACCTGTAATCGACGACCTTATTGACAAATTGAGTAGAGTGAATGTGTATAGCACACTCGATTTAAAAAATGGCTTTTTCCACTTACCAATTGAAGAAGAGTCGGTGAAGTATACATCATTTGTAACGAGTAACCCTGAAGGCCAGTATGAATTTTTAAGAGCACCGTTTGGTCTTTCTATCTGTCCTAAATACTTTACAAGATACATTAACATCATATTTGCGGATTTTATAAGAACGGGAGTGGTTTTGATATTTATTGACGATATAATTATACTTTCAAAAGATGAAAAAGAGGGAATTGAACGACTTAAAGCTTTGCTGAAGGTGGCAGCGGAGTATGGGCTCGAAATAAATTGGAAGAAGTCACAAATACTACAAAGATCTGTTGAATTCTTAGGCTACCATATTTCCAATGGAACGATAAGACCATCTAGTGAGAAAACAAAGGCTGTTATGACCTTTCCAGTGCCTAAAAATTTGAAAGAACTGCACAGCTTCATAGGATTAACTTCGAACTTCAGGAAGTTTATTCAAAATTATGCTTTAATAGCGAAGCCATTAAGTGGTTTATTGAAAAAAAGGTGAGTTTAAGTTTTGAGGATGTGCAAAGACAAGCTTTTGACGAATTAAAGTCAAAATTATGTTGTGAACCAGTGTTGAAAATATTTGATGTTCATTTGGAAACTGAATTACATACAGATGCTTCTATGCATGGATATGCAGCTATTTTAATGCAACGAGACCCTAATGATGGTTGTCAACATCCTGTTCACTACATGAGCAGAAAGACTACAGACGTTCAACAAAAGTGTTGCAGTTACGAGTTAGAAGCTTTAGCTGTTATTGAAGCCGTGAAGAAATTCAGAAGATATCTTATAGGAATACCCTTAAAATTGTCACTGATTGTGAAGCCTTTCAAAAAACCTTGAACAAAAAGGATGCATCTGCAAAAGTAGCACGATGGATACTATACTTACAGGATTTTCAGTATTCTATAGAACATAGAACAGGAGACAAGATGCAACATGTTGACGCATTGAGCAGAAACATTTGTTTTGTTGATGTTGAGTTACATGCGAGAATAAAGAAGGCACAAGAAGAAGATGAAGGGTTAAAGATTATCAGAAAACTATTAGAAAAGAATGGATATGAAGATTATTTTTTAGAGAATGATGTTATCTATAAAGGACCGGAGAAGAAATTGGTATTACCTGATATGATGGATATGGAATTGATTAAAAAAGCCCATGGAATTGGACATTTCGGGAAGAAGAAGATTAAGGATATAATAGAAAAAGATTATTACATTACAAAACTAGACAGTAAAATCGATAAGATTGTTTCTACCTGTGTACCCTGTTTATTAGCGAGTAGAAAGTCTGGTAAGAAAGAAGGCTTTTTAAATCCAATTGATAAAGGAGAATTACCACTGGATACTTTACATTGTGATCATTTAGGGCCATTAGATGCAACTAAGAAAATGTATAACTACATACTTACTGTAATTGATGGATATACAAAGTTCGTCTGGATTTATCCTGTTAAGACTGTGACAGCAAAGGAAACCGTAGAAAAGTTAAAGTTGCACCAGAAAGATTATGGTAACCCACGGAGAATCATTACTGACCGAGGAGTAGCTTTTACAGGGAATGAATTTCAAGAGTACTGTCAAGAGGAAGGCATTAAACATATCACTATTGCCACTGGAATACCACGCGGAAATGGTCAAGTTGAAAGGGTGAACAGAGTTATTATTTCTACTTTAACAAAGATGTGTATAGAAGAACCAGGCCATTGGTATAAGCATGTGAGTAAGCTTCAAAGAGTCATTAATAGCACATATCAACGATCAATTAACACAACACCTTTTGAATTGTTAACGGGAGTGAAACTTAAACTGAAGGAAGATTTATCTATTATGGAATACTTAGAAGAGGAAAGCAGAATCAATTTATGAGTAGAAGAGATGAAACAAGAAGAGAGGCTAAGGCACAAATATTAAAGATCCAAGAAGAGAATAGAAAGACATATAACAAAAGACGTAAAGAAGGAGAGAAGTACAAGCAAGGTGATCTAGTTGCTATACAACGTGTACAGTTTGGAACTGCGTTAAAATTAAAACCAAAATTCTACGGACCATATCGAATTACAAAGGAGTTGGGAAGGGGTAGGTATGAGGTAGAGAAAATAGACAGAGGTAAAGAAGGGCCGATAAGAACTACATCAGCTTCAGATTATATGAAGAGATGGCCTTGATACAAATTGTTTTTTTTTTGACTGATTAAGTAATTGTTTTTGTAATTTTGTATTTTTTAAACATCTACTAAAACTGCCTAAACTACCTGTGGTTGTAAAGGAATAAGCTAATTAGTGTTGTTATTTTTTTTTGTTGTATGTTTAAACACTTATGTCTATGAAGAAGGAAAAAAAAAATGTTAAGTACTTAGTATAACTGTGGTAAAGTAGCTTCAGTCTGAGGCCAGACTGATTTGCAGAATGGCCGAGTTGTAGGATTAATTATTTAATAGTTGAGTAAAAGATGATTTTTGAACGAAGTATTGTGTGAATGAGAAGGATGGATGACGTAAAAGGGATTGAGGGACTTTTCGCAACGACGCCACGAACGAGTAACGTGTATCTGTGTCTTAAAATGTATTAATTTAAATAAAGATGAAAATAGTAACAATATACTCAAAATAAAGATTTTATTTATCCTACGCCTACATATATATATATATATATTTCATTTAACATATAATATATTAAAGAGAATTTATGAGAGTATGTTCATCTAAAAATGGAGAACCGTTAGCCCATTTGATATGAAACTTAACACATATACAAACTAACAAATAAACACATATATACACTCCGACGAACGTAGTTATGTTAGTGTCGGATAGGTGGCGTAGGTGGCAGTGATTTTATCTTTTAACCATAATCAAATAGATATATGGTTTTAATAAGATTTTTCTAGGTGAAGCGAAGCGTACTGGGCTTCCTGAATTTAGGAAGAAAACTCCTAAATTTGCATATGTGGCACTGAGCACCAGCTAGTGAACATACAAATAAGATATCAAACCAACAACTTCTAAATAAGTCGCAACAAACTGTACTAATACATTATTAATTAGATTAAAAATGTGCCATAATTATAACAATGTCTAAAAAGCAAACTGAGATGCAAGAATGATGAAATTTTTTCTTTTTAAATGACACTTTTTGACCTTTCAACAGCTGGAACTATCTCAGTTGGTGGATGCCACGTCGCTGGAGGGCAAATGGTCCTTAGCGAAGCTTGGGAAGGCGTCGCAGTGGAAGGACTGGGTGAGGAGGTATCGCCAGAGGCTGGAAGAGGAGGACGGTGAGCGTACACCCTGGATTTGTTAGGACTTTTTGTTAGTGCCAGCAAGAATTATCGGATAATAGATACTATTAGCTCTTTAAACATACTTGTAAGTTTATTTTGAATCCGTACACTCAAGCACTGATCATTCATTCTTTTGTAGACATCATAGGCTTTTTAAATTTTATATTTTAATGTTCGATTCCCACAGCGGAGTGAAACTTTTCGTTCCTTTTTTCTACAAAAATTTTAATTATACGAGTTGCTAAAATCAATTATAAACACTTTGCACCAACATGTTTTGCGACGTGGGAGACTGTTGTGAAGAATAGATTACGGATCTGGGTCTTTGTTCCCAAGCAGACTTGATGCCAGGCAAGCCACCGTTCATAAGAAATATAGCCAATATTATTAATTATTATTTTGACCGTCACTTGACGGCCACTCAGCTGTCTTCGCTGTTGCACGAATGGGCAGGTCCGTCCGTGGGAGTGCCACACCCTTACAGAAGACCTGATATACTTCTGCGTATCGCCTGGCGAGTGAGGTAGCCGGAGCCCACTTTATTAAAAGGTGGCAATGCATCAGCAACCCTACGAGTGTTGCAAATGTATATGGGCGGCTGTTATTACTTAACATCAGGTGAAGCTCATTTGCCACCTTATCACATACAAAAAGCGCATGATGTGCCGATTCCACCTAGGCAGGATAAAGACCGGAGTAATAGGTCTCTACTATGGCTTTCGTTCCAGTGTCGGACGAAACCAGACGCGCCCGAATGCTCAAGGTCAACCCAATGTATGTGCCGAGCAATTGGATACTACAGGAGGCGATAGCTGACGCCGAGAAGAACGACTTCGCAAAGGTTTCCTGGTCTTTCTCATTTGAATAGCATAATTATAGTGTTAAAATAAATCCTTTTCGGCATGTATTACACGGCAGTTCCACACGGCCTTTGCCTTTGCATCAATAATGGCGTGAGTTGGAACTAACAAGATGTCCGGACAGTGATTTATTAAAGATGGTATTCAATTAATATCAGTAGCCTAAATTTAGTCAAATTTTACTTTCTGCACGTTAATAGCCACAAGTGGCAGTTAATAGCAGTAGAACCAAGGTAACCGACATAGCTCAGAGGATTAGCAAGCTGAAGTGGCGATGGGCCGGCCATATAGCTGGTAGAACCGATAACCGTTGGGGAAGAAAGGTTCTCGAGTGGCAGCCTCGTACTGGCCATCGCAGTGTGGGACGACCCCCCACTAGATGGAGTGACGACCTGTGCAAATGTGCGGGAAGTCGATGGATGCAGGTGGCTCAGGATCGTACTTCGTGGCAGTCTATGGGGGAGGCCTATGTTCAGCAGTGGACTCAAGCAGGCTGAAATGATGATGATGATGAATAGCCACAACTTCGTATGATTCAATTTCGAATAAACATATCGATAATTTCGACGTGAAAAATGAAAAACAATGTAGTAATAATAGATAAATGAATAATAGAGAGACCAAACCATTATAATAGGTGGATGTAAGAAAATCGCCAAGTGCGAGCCGGACTCGCGCACGAAGGGTTCCCCCTAAAATATTTCCTTACTCTTTTTATTGTCTGTTGTTATTGCGGCAACAAAAATATATCATCTGTGAAAATTTCAACTGTCTATCACAGTTCATGAGATACAACCTGGTGACAGATGGACAGACAGCGGAGTACTAACGGGAACCCTAAAAAAGCATGAAACTGCATGGGATTTCTTAATATACGAGATTTTTTTAAACTTAAGGTGGTTTAATAGGGAAATTTTTTACTAGTATAAACTATAAACTTTTCTTTTGTTTTGTTTAGGTGCGCCTGCTGCTCAAAATTTTCAGGAACCCTTACGAAGTAAACGAAGAAGCAGAGAAGTTAGGATACTCATCACAACCGCCGAGCTGGTCCTTCGGGCTGAAGCTTAGTTGTTCCAGCTAGTTATGTTCATGTTTTAATTTCGGCAAATTTTATATGCTCCATAGATGTAGCAAGCAAAACCCACAAATATTCTTTTATTACATTAGTAGAAGTGACGACACTTTTTTTCATTTCGTTACACTATGTTATCCACAAGCAATCTCAATTCAAATCTTCAAACTTTTGCTAAAATTGTTAATTGCAACATGTGAAGCAAAGTATTTGGATTAACAACCATTACAAATAAGTGACTCTATGATTACATCACAGTGTGTAAAATCATGTCAAAAGTAATTATGCGTTTTAAAAACGTCACAATATTTTCGTTACTGATATAAGGAATATTTGCAGGTCTTCCATGTATCTTTTTGCAAATTAGGAAGATTTGATTAATTGGAACTTAATATAATATAGGAAGTGACTAGTCTACAACCAGTGGCTATTTAGTAAATAGAATTACCTAGCCATTAGATTAGAGAGTAGTGAAATAGTTGCTCTAGTGGCAGTCTAAACTAAAAAGCTTTTCTGCCACAACTCATTAGAATATGTAATTGGGAATTTTATTAATCAGGCAATAAGACCAGTTGTTTGAAAATGTTGGGCAACCCATAGAAAAAACATTAGTAGGAAATAGCTGAATACATGTTGTTAGATGTAAAAAGCTATACTTTTCCTTTTTTGATTAAATGGTTAAAATGGTTTTCATACGCTATCGCCAGAACTGTCGCTTCGGCGCCCCTGAGTTTAGCTTCACCCACATTAGACCTTCGCACAACTTGGCCTTGTGGTCTTGCTCCACTCAGGATAGGTGTAGTGGATAAGGACGACAAGACCACAAATTATTTGGGTGCTCTGTTTCAGATCTGTCTCACTAGCAAAATGCCATTATTTCTTGTTCTAGTACTATTATGTACTATATTAAGTTTATTAAACGGTTACTGGTGGCAGATTAGACACTTCCTAAAATAGTATGTAAATAGGCATTTCCCTCGTTATCAAATGTGCATTTTACGGTGAATTTGTTATTATTAGTAATATTAATCAATAGTTATGAATTTCTTTGATAAACTTTCAGTGTTATACGTTTTTATATTATATTGTCAGTTTTAACTTAGATTAACTCATCAGCTCTCATGTGTTATCGAGGGTTTAGATCTTAAGTTGATGCAAATAATATAAGTTGTTATGTATATGTGGATAAATATTTCAATTTCAGGGAATTAAAATATTTTATTACAGTTGTTGTTACAAGTAACTGTAGACGTTGTGCATCATTTTAGTAAAATAAAACATTTATAGGATTCAAACTGTTTTAAAACACTATATGCAGTTTAAATTTTTGACCTAGTCGTATTATTGGCTTGATAGAAATCTTATGGCTGTTATATTGTGAAATCTATTCTAAGTTGTTGTTATAAGACTTACTGAATTTTTGCTATATATATATATATATATCAAAGTGCAATTTTGTTAAATGTAGAAAATATATTTTTTATCATCCAATCGTCTTCTTTAGATACCTAAACACAATTCTTATGCCATACAATAGAAATTATTAATTATAAAATATTTATATATACAGAAAAATAAAAACCTATTTTCTTACACATTAACATAATTTTAGGTATAAATATAATCACTTGTAATCTTCATCATTGCTGTCATCGGGTTCAGAGTAATCCTCATCAACTTCAATTTTTCTTCTCTTACTCTGTTGCACATTCTCCTTATCTTCATTATCTATTAGTTTTGCTTCGGTCTCCGCTGAGCGATGGTGAAACACGAAGGATATACTCTTGGCCAAGTCCCAGCATTGTTTCAAAACAAGATCAGCCAGATTCTTTTTGTCCGCACAATGGTACCAGTTAGACAAATCGGACGTACAATCCGAATTTTCAGGGGGCAATGTTACTTGGATATTGTTAACGCACCTACGGCACTTGAACTTGCTATGTGTATCTGACAATGTGTTCTCTTCCAAACGGAAAAGATCTTTCAAGTCGTCAGAAGTGAAATGCCTGAGCGACTCCTCGTTTTGATCGACGACTGTATCACTCAATGCCTTCTTATGGGCTTGACGTTGGAAAATTTTCTCCTCTATTGTTCCTGTGGCTAATAACCTATATATGTAGCATGGTTTCTTCTGTCCATCACGCCACACTCTAGCCATGGCCTGGTCATCATTGGCGGGATTCCAATCTGGGTCAAACATGATCAAACGGTTAGCCCCAATAAGATTTAAGCCACAGCCACCAGCTTTTGAACTAAGCATGAATATCCACTCCTTTGAATCCTTGTCATTAAAACTTTCTACTACTTTAGCTCTTTTCTTAATAGTCATTGAACCATCAAGCCTCACATATTGGTAGCATCTTTTACGACATAACTTCTCAAATAAATCAAGGGTCTGTGTATAGTTAGATACAAGGACAATCTTATCATCTGTATTAGTTTTTAGATTTGCCAAAATACAATCCAAAATCATCAGTTTGCCAGAGTATTCTGGTTTGACATCTTTGATGTCATAATTAGTAGGTAATAAATCTCTGGCTTTTTCAAATCCCTCAGACCTCTCTATTATCTTATCGTACACCAAATCCGGATGATTACACAGTTTCTTCAATGTTGTAATGCTGGATAAAGCACTGAGTGTATTCTTGTCACCATTGCCAGAAAACTTGTTTCTAATTGCATCAGAATTAATGAAGTTCTTATATATTTGGGTTTGGAGTGGAGTCATTTTGACACAAATGACTTGTTCAAACTTAACAGGCAAGTATTTTGTGAGCAAGCTGCTTGTTCTGCGAATCATGCACTTGTTGACTATTGATGTTAAAGTTTGAAGACATTCCTGTGCCCTTTCTCTCTCTTGAGTAGTAGCTAAAGCATCTTGGCCTCTCAAAATAGGGTTCTCATACTTCTTTTTAAATTCCTGTGCCGTTCCCAAAATCCCCTCATTCACAAAATGCACCAAACTAAAGTATTCAGTTAGATCATTTTGTATGGGTGTTCCTGATATAAGTATCCTCCTTTTCGCTTTTAAGCCCATTAAAGCTTGATATGTTTGATTCTCACTATTTTTAAGTCTATGGCCTTCATCACAAAGCACCAACCCTACTTCAGATGAATGCAAAATACTGGAGTAAATCCTAAAAGTTTCATATGAAATTATTAATACAGGTGTTGCAACCCTGTTAGCAGTGAAAGTGTTCATATACTGCTGTAGTTTTAGTGTTATGTCAGCTTTGCTTCCACCATCCATTGGTAATGCATTTATCCTCTGGCCCAGCCATTTGCCAATCTCGTTGTACCAGTTTTTGACTAAGCTACTTGGACACACTATAATAGCCTTACTGATTGTAGGCTTACATTCGGGGCTTTGCCTCAACAAAGTCCACAGCAAAGTTATACACTGCAATGTCTTCCCCAATCCCATTTCGTCGGCCATAATGCACCCGTACGCGTTTTCAATCTGTTTGCCCGTAACACAATCATACATAAACTTGACGCCTTCCCTTTGATGCGGTCGTAGGATATTTCCAAGGACGGGGTCGACAACAACGGCCACCTTAATGTCATTAGCGTTCATCTTCATCCTTTCATGTTCGGGAATATACGGAGGGCGATACAAAACAAGAGCATTCAGCTCGTCTGGATCATGAAGAGCGCGCCGAACTTGAGTCCGTTTTAGCCCTAAACTCTTACTACAATACGAAGAAACATAATTGGGGATTGGAACTTTAAATGGCTTATTTAGGATTTGACGTATGAGATTCTCATGGTCTGAGGCAGATAAAGATTGCGATGGAGATTTTTGTGTGAGTGGTATCTTCGTACATTCCCGCTTTTTGCGTTTCGCGGAACTGAGAAGCGGGCTCTTGAAAACATTGTCATTAGAGCCAATTTGGCTAGGAGCTAAACTGCGACGCATTATATAAGATTAAGTTATCATGACAAAGAGAGTAAACTTGCGCACCGATATTAAAGTTTAATAATTATAATAGTTTAAAACTGAATATTTGCATTTATTTTGAAAACATTGACAACTTGACAAGTACAGACAAGTTTCAAAGTTTGACATTAAAGTATGTTACTATATACAATATTTTTTGGAAAGTGTTTTCCAATCCCCGATCCTTTTTTTGTGTAAGTGCTACGTCTAAATTCAGAAGAGGTACATTTTTAAAGACAGGATTCAGGAAAAACAACGTATCTGATGCAGGTCCATGACACAATGACGTCGTCGAACGTTGTTGCTGCATCTCCACGACCCCTTGTTAACGAAACATTGATTTACAGTTGGAGGTGGATAAGAAATAAACCAAGAGCCCTTCTGATGAAGACAGTGGGTTCTGACCTCGACTTTTACAACCATCAATAGTGAAATTTGAACTCATCCAGAGGAAGTAATAAAATGGAAATCGCGAAATTTAAACTCGAGACCTACTAACGTCAAACGATTGGCTACAAAATAAACCATTAACTAACGAGAATTAAAGCTTTACGAGAACAAAAGATTCACAGAAGTAATAAATTCACGGAAACAAAATGTTCCGTAATTCGCTATACCTATGTGTCTTAGATAATGTATGCACTGCGGACGACTGATTAGGCATTGACAACTTACCCGTTTCAGGTTACCTCGTTCTCGACGTCATCTTACTAGATGCTCGTGTGGGGGATGCCAGGCGAGATATTACGTACTTCGCCTTATTGGCTACGGTACTAATTTTCGGTTTGAATTTTTTTTACCTAACGTAATTTACATACTTAGCCGTGCTATTCTATGGAATGGTCTGGCCAAATTTATTGAATATTATATGTAATTAAGTATGTAAAGTAATCCGAATGGCATTAAACATGTTCTTCCCACTCTTCTTCATCCTGCCCTGGTCATCTCACTCACCAAATGAAACGGGAAACACCGGTATTCTGCGTGGCCCTTATACTTTCCCGGATGAGCCTGTCTATTCGTGCAACAGTAGCTATTGTAAAACGATCAAAAATAAAAAAGAGTGTGTGTACTTAGGTATATGCGCACGTTAGAAGTTACACTTCTTTAGCGTTACAAAAGAACAATAACTGAAAATTATATCCCCTGTACTCATTGTTAGTGAAAAAGACATTAAATGCAATTGATAACGGTTACAACTTGAAATTATAATTATGTAAATGTTAAAAAGTTTCTATCGATTGCCATGCCGTGACCAAGTATGTGAAGTCGGTTGCTTTTGGTTGCAAATACCTCGTGTCACTTTTTGAGGGTCGGTGTGCACGCATCATAAAAATTTTACTCTTATAATTTTCCCAATCCCAAAAGAAGTATAACTTCAACAACAAAATCAGGAGGACTATCTTTGCGATGACAAACAGTTAATTGATCAGACTACAATTGTTCATTAGTTAATTCATCATACACACAGATGGATTGCAGTCTTTGTAGTCTTTTGGAGATAGGGCTCCGATAACCTCAATCATCAGCCCAAACGGAGGAATATTTTTACTTTTCCCTGGTATTAGGCGACACCTACATATTTTCCTCCAAGAGACAAAATAAAAAACAATATCAGTTATCAATAAGGTAGGTAATGAATTTACACGTTTAGGTTATTTGTAACACTTTTAATATTTCGAATAATACTTAATTATTAACAATAATATTATACAATGTTAAAGCTAGCCCTGATAGGAATTACTTAATTTGATAATTATCGTGTTTTGCACTAAAGATGGAAGCCCATCTCGCGAGCAACCAAATGATGAAGCCAATGAAAAGGTACCGAACTATGACGTCGACTGTTTGCATTCTGAAATTAAACAAAGGAATAAGATGGAGTCGGTTAAAAAGTTACAAAGTTATAATAATATTGGTGGTGGGGCCACGCATCACTTCGCCCATGCTCGGTATGATGCGGAGGTCCGTCCGGAGATGTACCACGACCTCGCAGAAGACTGGCGTGAAACTGTAGTATTATGCTTCTGCGTTTCGTCTGATGAGTGAGGTAGCCGGAGCCCTCTGCATTAAAAGGTGACAACGCCTTTGCAACCCTATAGGTGTTGTAAATGTCCATGGGCGGTTATCACTTAACACCAGGTGAACCGCCAGCTCGCTTGTCATCTTATCACATAAAAAAAATCCGTGGAAGTATTAAATTCACCCACTTCTCTAACTTGTGTCACTCTGCTCTGGTTAATATAATTTTGTATCATACTATCGCGTTCAAATTTACGTTCATTTTAAATTTCACGCTTAATTCTCAGTTTACATAACGTTTACAAATATGAATTTTAATATCAATATTGAAGTCCTCAAAGTAGCTTAAATATAATAGTGAAATGCAACTTTAAAACTAGACCACACCTGATTTTTAACGCTATACCAGAAAAAAATGTAGTTCTCAAAAGCTTACATTTTCATGTGTCTCTTAGCGGCCGGTATGGTGTCGTCAGGTTCCTTTAAGATATACCTGCGTGTGGCTCTTACGCAGTCCTCGTAATAATTTGGAATATTGATGCCTGTAAAATCACTTATCTTTACAAAATAGATCTTATAAGTAAAATCACTTGTCATTATCAAATCCATTACTTTGTAAAGTCCGTCTAGCCTTTAAGTTAAGAAATTCGAGGTTGATTCTTTATACCTTTTTTTTTCAAGAAAAAATAAAATTATTGACAGAAAGACGAAAAACTCGTTCGTACTTTCAACCATCTACTAACCACACTCACGGCCGTAGCTAGGAGGGGGCATTGTAGGGCAATGCCCTACCTTAAAATTACAATGCCCTACCTTAAAAATACCAAAATAAAAATGCGTAAATATGACCACGTTTCTCAATTTCGTACACGTCTCAAGTGATTTCCCATCCTACTTCGCCGGAATTTGTATAATCTTTCTATGTTGTACCTACTGTGTTCTATTTCATGTTTCTACTCCACTTTATTTAAAGGAGAAATTTGATTGTGATGATTTGATTTGATTGGTAGGGCTTCTAGGGGAAGATCCTACCTTCTTCGAGGAAGCTCATTTTAAAGGTGCCAAATCACAAAACGTAATTTTTTGAAAAATCTTTTACCGTACAGGATTTTAAACTCTACTACTTGATTATATACTATACTAATGCACAACCTACGTAGTAAAGTTCCTTAATGCCATTAGTTGCCTGGAAGAGATCGCTTTGAAGTGATAAGGCTGCCAAATTGTGCATTCCATTAATTTGTTTGTCTATTGTTAATTTTGTGTATCCTTTTATGTGTGGTGTGTGAGTATTCATTCATTTATTCATTCAAAAACTAAGATACATTATTGTAAGAAAAATTGTAGCGATAGGTATCTCTTCAACTTTTCCTAACATACCACATTTCGTCAAAATCAAAATCATTTATTTATCGACTTAGGAAACATACATTTCATCTATCGATAGTATTTTTTTAAATCTATCATCGTTTCATAATGAGGTTCCTCTAACGGAGAAGAAACAGGCAAAAGAAACTCCGAAGGTATCCTCTTTTTTGTAATTTTTTTTTCTTAAAAAAATTAAAATATTATACAACTGTTTTTTTTTCTTTCTTTTAGAAATAGCTTGGGAGCGATCAACTTACCAGTGCGTGACATTCATTTCATATTCTAATAATTCTTTGTTCTGTGTACTCGTATAATAAAAATAATAATAAAATAGGCATTTGAATGATGATGATCTAATCAATTCGATTGCAAGTCTCGATGAGTTGAATGTTGATAAAATGCTTCCACTGAAAAGTTTGAGTAAGTTTAAAAAATTTAATAATCCAAATGATTTTTCATGTTCAATTTACAATTGAAACTAATTTTTAAGGTCTGAAAATTCCATCAAGAGAAGAGGCTAGTGTGGTTAAAGTTTACTTGAGTCGTAACGAGGACAAAATGGAAAATACATTGCAAGTGTTGTACAGGCAACGAGAGGCGTTTAAAGATACATAATATGAACTTTTTGCAACTGTGGCGACCATAGGATGTAGCACTGCAGTGTGCGAATCTACGTTTTTAACTTTAACTGCAATCAATAGGCCTCAAAGGCTGTAAATGGGTCACGAGAGAATGGCTGGTATTACTGGCCTTTGGAAAAAAACGTACAAAATCAGTTGATCTGAACGAAGTTCTTCGCATTTTTAATAACATGGCGAATCGAAGAATTCAGCTATTTTAAATATTTTTATTATTATGTTAATTATTGTTATAAGTCTGCAGAAACAATTTGATATAAATGGTATTTTTGGTCGTGTTATCTCATCCAAAAATTACTTATTACCCCACTCTCACTCAGACGTGGCTCTCTACATCCAAAGCTAGAAGTTCAACCATCTTGTTCGCTTATTCTTCATCATTAAGGATTTAATAGTGCTTAGATCCATGCTCGTGTTCTGTCATAGAAATTATTTGTCTACGAATAGCTATTGAACTGACCTAGAGGTCAGTGATATTCATGATGATTGATTTAGGAGCTCATGCTTCGAGGGCAGATCAATTATGATAAATTGTTTACTTCCGCCCGACCTGTAATCAATGCTGCCCTACCTCAAATTCAACTCTAGCTACAGCCCTGACCACACTTAATAAAAATAAATATGTTAAATTCAACTCTAGTTATACAGTAAAAATTAGAAACCGGATTACATAATGTACATGTATAGTACATAAAATAAAATAAGAAATATTAAAAACAATATAATAAATTAACTTTAATAGGGCCACACTTTTGCTTTAGCCCGAATCCCTATATTCTTTCTATTATATCATCCGTCCGTGAAGTGAAAGACCAGCGTGAAGTACAAGTATTTCGCGTTTCGTCGAATGTCAGGGCTCACAAAAATAAGTACCAATGAAACATGCCATAGTTGGTTACATCAAGAAACCTGAAACGATCGTTTTCGGAAGATTTCAGATGCAAATTATCTTCGTCGAAATGCAAAAAGTTACGTTTTTCTTTCATTTGCTAGTTAAGACGTATAAAGCAAGGTAACATTTGGCTTAAGTGTCTGTAACGTTCTCTTACCGTCTGCGTCGAGTTTGTAGTCCTGCCTTTCGCGTGCGTTGAGCAGGGTTCGAACCCGCTGCGCGTTGTCCGACTTGAAGTACCACTGGTGGTTTGCGAAGTATTCGAGCATTTCGAAGCCCTTGCTGATGCGACGGTGCACGCGAATGAGCCTGCCGGCCCGATCAAGCAAACTTTGGTCACATAAAACGTTATAAAACGTAACATACTCTTAAAAATTAAAGTCGAGCGAGTGCTAGTCTCTTTCTAACAAAGCTATACCACCGATGCAAAAAGAAAGAAATTATGACAGTGAAAGTGTTCAGTAACAACTGTGATAAGGTATAACAGTTTTTATCTCTTTCTAACAAGTGGTAAGCAAGAATAAAGAAAAACTTGTGACAGCGTGTTAATGAGCATTTTGTGTGGAACAGGAAGTGTTATTTAGGTTTGTTATGTATGTGCATTTTGTGTATGTATGTGTAGTGACAAATTAATGTCGTGTTTGATGTTTAAATGATTACGCCATGTTGGATGAATTTTGCGAATCTCACTTACACTGGTTTCAAATCCGAATATAAAGAGAAGCGTGTCGACGAAAATGGCGGGAATCCAATGGAACAGTACCGCGCAAATGTTGTGCGTTAGGCGGGAATTTTTAATCGAGCCACCAGGTACCCTGGAGATGAAAAGAGGTTATACTGATCAGCTGTCATTTGAGTTGCCAAAATGATGGTTAAACTCTTTGAATTGATCATTCTGGTCATTAAGAAGATCATTCTGATTTTAGACATGGAGACAAGGAAGATTCTTCAACAAATGTCTAAATTAAATAGGTTTGTCGCTTAAGTACAATTGTATTTCAATGCATATCTATTTATTTATTTTTTACTTTACCGCCTTTTCCGCGTACAGAAAGCTCTTACGAACAACTTTACGGCCAATTTCTAAACGTAGTAGAGAACTGAATATAGAAAGAGATTTTCCTCACCACACGGCTCCATTTAGTGGCAACCTGTTGAGTACGATGTCCTTGCCAGTCTCTATCAGCTCATTCCATGTGATCTTCACCTCCGCCGAGGTCGTCAGGTTGTAGATCGTCGTCACCTTATCGCTTCATTTGCGGGAAAAAAAAAAGAAATTGAAACAGTCCGCCCGTAAGCGAATCGATGAATCTAAACAGAGCCCATAAGCCATAAAGTCAGCCCTCGATAGTTCACGGATTTGATTCCCTGTTGCATGTATCAGTTAGTTTTACCAGGGGGATTCTTTTAGAACCACGCAGGCCCATATCTATGCGTTGTGAACGAGTTAATGAATCAAATCAATATCGGCATATTGCCGTCCACTGCTGAACGTAGGCCTCCCCCAAAGTGCGCCAACTATCTCGGTCCTGGGCAGCCCGCATCACGTTGTCAGCCCGCCCCGTCCCACACTACGTTTTCCTAACCGAGATGTCCACTCTAACACGTGTCGTCTCCAGCGACCATCAGTACGTCTGGAGACATGGCCAGCCCACTTCCACTTCAGCGTGCTAATTCTGCGCGCAATGTCGGTAACTTTAGTTCTCTGGCGAATGACTTCGTTTCGAATCTTGTCTGCCAAAGAAACCCCAAGCGTTGCGCGTTCCGTCGCCCGCTAAGCGACCTTCAATTTGTGGACCAGCCCCACGGTGAGTGTTCACGTTTCGGCTCCGTAGGTCATTACTGGTAGGACGCACTGGTTAAAAACTTTCGACTTAAGGCATTGTGGTCTTGACGACTTAAAAACGTGCCGTAGCTTCCCGAATGCCGCCCAGCCTAAGCGTATTCTTCGGTTGGCCTCTTTCTCAAAGGCCTAGTTTGGCCAAGGTAGGTGTATTCCTGCACAACCTCAAGCATAGCGCCATTCACGACCACTGGTCTCGGGATCACATGACTATTGGACATAATTTTCGTCTTGTCAAGGTTCATACCGAGACCCACTTGTCTGGAAGAATCACTCAGGCTGTTGAGCATGGCTTCCAGATCTTGCAGAGATTCTGCCATAATGACAATGTCGTCAGCGAATCGCAAGTGTGTTATTAACTGTCCAGTTATATTAATGCCCCGTCCGTTCCAATCCAGCGTCTTAAAGACGTCCAATGCATTGGTAAACAGTTTCGCGGACATCACATCCCCCTGTGTTACACCACGATGCAATTGGATTTACCTTGTACTTGGACGGGCATTGTTGCGGTCTAGTATAGACGTCTCAACACTTGGATATATCGATCAATGAATGTTTTTAATTATTTAAAATAAAGCATAATAAAATAAAAATAAACATAAAATTAACACCATTAAGTAAGACGGTAACATGAATGAATAAAATAACAACAAATTTAATTGATAAGACTTCCTTTAGTAATTTCATGGTAGGTACTGTGCGTGCGCATCGTATAAATTCACTCTTAACGTATTTCTTTAATGCTCCAAATGAGGATTAATTTCAAAATAAACACAATAAAAATATAAAGATATAATAGATGATGAATTATGAAGAATAAATGATGAATGATAAATTATGAAAGAATAAATGAAGACAGTTTTCTTTATTTGTTTCGTTTTAAAAAAATTGTCACTTAATTTAAAACCATTAATTGAAATGCGTGGTTCCCACTGAAGAATAACCATAAAGGCAGTTTTTTATTAATATAATTTTTTAATATTTTGTTTTTGCTATTTATTTGTATCATTTTAGCGACATTTTTTTATCCGATCTTCATATTGATGTGATTGAAGTCAATTTCGAAGATGATGGTGTCGTGATCGTTGGATTATGTCCTAAACACAGTCATAATGTGTATGAATACATACTTGACATTGAAGGATAGCTTTATAACTTCTTCGTGATGTTTTTTGCATTACGTAAATGTGTATATTGTAAAGTATTTTTTTTTTTAATTTTTAATTTTTTTAACGTTAATATTTTTTTATGATTATTGGCAAGTAGCGTTAGATGTGTGTTCACTTATTGTCGCGGTGGTAAAGACACGTTGTATATTATGTGTATAGGAATGGTAAAGTATGATTAATATACAGACTATATTCCTATGTCCATGTATAAGTTTAATTTTACCCGTGATTGAGGTAGTTCCAAACGACGACCATGATTGCGTTTATGAAGACGTCAACTGGCAAATAATCAGCATAACTGTCACTACGGCAGTACATAGTGCGTATAACGCCTTTGCCGGCACCTGAAACGAGTTCATTTTTACTACCAAAAAAAATGAGTTCGAATATGTCCCCCAATATACATTTTATATTTGTTTTTTAGGTTACCTGATGTATCTCCGGAATCAAAGGTAACATGTCCTTGTTTTATTTACAGAGGTGACGTTTAAATGTCATTAGTAACCCGTCTTTGATATTAATAATTTTCACGCCTTTCATTTATTTTTATTTGTAAACTCGGCTTACCAATCAGCAATCCCGTGGGTCCGTTTATGTTATCCGTCCATCCAGGCAGAGGTTCCCGCCAAATTGGAATGACTATGAAAAAAAATATCCGTTAAATTTGATACATACTTACTACTAAAAATTCAAGTAAAATACATGCATACACTGCAACGTTTAAGGGATATCTAAAAATTTTATAGGGTTATCAGTATCCGCTAATAAACATGTGTGCAGTTTAAATTTAAAAATTGCTAATGAACTAACTTAAAAATGTTTGTTTTTATCTACATATATTTAAATTCGACTAAACTTATGGCGGTAGGACAAGATGGCATCAATGAAATCAACTCTGCCTTTGGGACAGAGAGAGAGAGTTAGAGAGACAGAGAGAGAGAGCACCATTTAAACACCAGCAGAAAGAATTAAAATTTTTAAAACTATAAAAGTATTTTTGGCGCATTTAAAAGATTAGAATCATCCGATACCTAAAAAGCCCATTGGCTTAATCTGGGAACGTGGTGGCCACGGTACCGGCACGACCAATCCATTGACTCTCAAACTCTTCCGATAAATAGGCACGCACTGCCCCGTCTAGCGGGAACCAAAGCTCACGCAACTAGGCTAGTGGGATACCGTACACCATTGACCCATCGTCAACAAAAACTATCACAACCGGTTATTATCGTACCGCGAACGCAAGGATTATACCAAAATAACTGGGACTGCAAGTAAAACACATTTATTTATTGCTATTGCAATTTTGCTACTTTATTGCCACTTTATTGAATGCAATAGTACCGTGATAGATAAGTGTCTGGGCGCTCGCCTTTAATTTAACGTACTCGAGCAACCTGAATTCGATCTCAGGTGAAATTGTTAACTTTTAGTTCTGTCTTACGTGCTCAGCGGTGAAGGAAAACGTGGTGAAGAAACCTGCATATTCTCGAAATAATAACAAAAAAAATAAATATTTCGAAGATATATGAAGTCCGCCAATCCGCTGTGGGGCCGCGTGGTGGACTAGGCCCTGATACCCTCTGTGCGGAGGAGACTTTTGCCCAGTCGTGGGACATATATAGGCTGGTACTTTACTTTATTATTCCGGAATAACATGAGCTATATTTTAATTCATAAAGATATTTTAACGTAAAATATATTAAGGCAAAATGAAATTCACTGGGACAGCTAGACAAATACATTATTAATGTATATTTTAAAATGTGTGTTATGTAATGTGATAATAGTTGTTTCAATTATTCTCTCATAATTCGTGACTAATTATCGTATTAAAAAAATGATTACCTATTGATGGTCTGAGGATCAAAACGGGGATCCGCGTCATAGCTTCGACGGCTAAATGTTCTGCGAGGGCTTTTGTGAACGTGTATGGATTCGGCGAACTATTGAGCAGTCTGTGGTAGAAAAAAAAGATTCGGTATTCAGAGAGTTGTGATTGAGTAGTCTGTGGTAGAAAAAAAATATATCGGGTATTCACTCGGTATTTTTTCTTCAAATTATTTTGCCTACTTATGAGGTTGTTCCTCTTTTTTGAAAAGAAGACTTTTTCTTTTTTTTTTAATAAATTTAAAAAGCGGGAAAAAGAGTTAGGAACTTCATTATTGTGTTGTCAGCAATCGAATAGAAGCGGGTCAATATTCATTTAAAAATTAATCTTTGTTTGACCTTGTTCAGTTTGACAATAAACGTAATGAGGAAAATATTTGACGTTTCTTATATTCCCCATATTGGCAATTCCAACATAAAATCACTCTTCATCATTTCATTATAAAAGCTAGGCAAAAATAAACAACCAGAAGATATTTTTGATATTTGAAACCATTTGTTTACCATTATTGCGTCATTGGCGATATCATAAGGACCGCCAACTGCCTTAGAAGAAGAAGAAGAAGCAATTCCATCTTAAAACCTTAGAATTTTCATACTTAGGGGCGATCCTCTCGATGGCGGCTTCGTCCAAGAGTTCCGCGGCGGCGACGATCTTGTGGGGGTTGGCTGGAGGGTCGTAAGGTCTCTCCTCCAGCAGTTTCTCGTGGAGGTGGCAATACGCCGTCGATATGTGCACGAACAGCTGGGAGTGGATTGGTTTCGCAAATAGAATTGTCGAAGACTGACGAAACTGGTTGTGTTTTTAGGGTTTAAGACGGGACTCTATTACAAGAATCCGATGTCTGTCTGTCCGGCTGTATCTCATGAACCGTGATAGTCAGACAGTTGAAATTTTCACGGATGATGTATTTCTGTTGTCGCTATAACAGTGGGGCTCCTAGATATGATTTTTTTTATGTTTATATAGATAATGGTATGGAACCCTTCGTGCGCGAGTCCGACTCGCACTTGGCCGGTTTTTTATTACAGACCGTCTAGTGCTTCCTTACCATCCCCGTGATAATACCTCGATCCTACGGCTAGCGGTGACACAATCGTTACTGGGAAACTGGTGCTAACAAGAAAAATGTCTATTAACCAGCGTCGCAAACAACTCGAAGACCCATAATGCAGGGTTCGACCCATATTGGATCAAATGATCGCGTTAGGAGTAAGAAAACAGCTTTGGCCCCAATTTCGTCCAACGTTGGAAGTTCCAGCGTTGGTTTCTTTACCTTTGCTTGGACTGATTTGATATCATCGCAAGCGTGTGGACATTAACGCAATTTGTAACAAACGTTGGTGCCAACATTTTGTCAAGGTGTGAAGCCAGGGTAAGTTGAATCCCTTAGTTGTCGACAACAAGTGACTAGCTGAGTGTTTCTTCATCTTTGTCTAATAAATCGTTTTACTTCTATTTACAAAGGTTAGTAGTTGACCTCATGTTTATTTCATGCGCAATTACAATGAGCAAAAATTAAATGTGATTATTGTCAAGTAACTATTCGTTTTGGTTTTAAATCCGAGTTTACAATTACAGTTTTTTAACTCTGTTCCACTCCTTTATATTTATTTTTAACGTGTTTACCTTTAAATTCCTGCATTCCTTAGCCAAATCTAGAATGAGTTTTGTACCGCGAACGTTGAGCAGAATCGCCTTCTTCAATGTTTCGTCGAATCTAATAAATAATAATTATGTCATTACATGGAAACTGATATCAATAATAACGTCCTTAAAATAATTTTTTTTTGATTTTTGATTTTATACAATTGTGATGATGGTGCCTTCGATTTTATAAAAGCTGCAACATAGATCAATGCCACAATCACAACATATTAATTAATTCAACATTAACAAAATAACACCAATAACATTTCATTCCGAATAATCTCTTTTTTAAATTAAAAAATAATAGATGCTTTGGATGCAAGTTCCATTTAAAGTTTAATCTGATTAAATCAATGCTTTAATTAAATATACATGATGGAAATATCTCGAAGTAGGTTCATCCCTATTAAGAAAAAAATTACATATCCAACGTTCCTTGGAATTTGTATAACGAAACGGAACGAAACACGAAAAATTTGTCTGGCGCAAGTTCCAATGACGATAAAAATTCTTATACGAAAGGCGATTAATATATAGAGGAGTGGGGATAAAGAATTGTTTTTTGCATTTTTATGAGGTATAGGTTCTACTCTGTTAGTCTTATAAAGTCTTGATCAATACAAAATACAGTTGTGTTCTCCTACAGGCAGTAACAAGACACCGTGTGGCTTTTATTTATACCTATATATTATTATGTTTTAAAACGAAATTGATATCGAACTTTTTCTACTTGTGAACCTAAACCTACAAAGTCTCCAAAGTTGCTAGTGATAAATAAAAAGTAGCAAAAGGTTAACCCATCATCAAAATCTATCGATCACTTCAAATAGTAATTGGAAATTATACATGATTATAAACGATATAAATGTCGTTACTCGGCAAAAGGAAAAAGTGAAACGTCGTTAGATTAAAACAAAGTAAATATAAAGGTAAAACAGAAGTATTTCATTTCGTATTAATTCCCAATCCAAACTAATTGAATTGATCATTCTGGTCAATTCAGAGAGATTAAGTATACTTTTAGGAATTCAAATGACATTTGAAAAGCCATTTGACAGCTGCTTAGTTAACTTCTTCGATGATCAGTGTTCCAGAAACCGGGTGTCATATTCTACAATGTCCAGGATGACAGAACTGTGGTCTGTGGTTGCGAATGTCCGTGGACGGTGACCATGGATTAGTCGCTCCGTTATAAAAATCTACCAGAGCCAATCAGAACCATTGCCCACCTGACAGTAGCCGCTGCGTGGACAAATATGTTCACGTTGCCCACGACGTACTCGCGGTCATCAGCAGACATGGCAAGGTCGGGCTCGCTGGCGTCGCCACCCACGATCCGCACTTTCGCCAAGATCTTGTTCATACCACCTCGCAGCGCGACGACCTTCGAGAACAACTGCAGAGGCAATAATTAACGCGTACTGTCATGCATCATTGTGGTAGGACCACGCAACAGTGTTCACTGTTGCACGAAATGGCAGGTCCGTCCGGGAAAGTACCACAACCTCGCAGAAGATAAAAGTGTTGTTAAGTGGTAAAGTGATAGAAGTGTTACCCTTCTGCGTTCCGTCTGGTGGGAGAGGTAGCCTGGGCCCACTTTATCAAAAGGTCGCAACGCATTTGCAACCCTACGGGTGTTGCAATTGTTAATGGACGGCGGTTATCACTTAACATCAGGTGAACCGCCAGCTCGTTTGCCACTTTCTCACATTAAAAAAAATCAGCCGTGCCCAGATGTACTTCTTGACTGATATGCTTTAAGGGCCGAGGCGAGAGCATATGCTTTAGCTTGTCTGGTGAATAGTTAACTAGACCTCGAGATCTTCATCAGAAAACTAAACGTTTGCCCACTTAACATATCTCCAAGATCCAAGTTTTTCTAGTAAATAGGAAACTAAATTTCGCAGTATTGTATTCCTGCTGAACGGTCACATTTCAATTGTTATCTAAGAAAGCCTATTAATCCAGCGTATTTTTCGATGCCTGGGGATGATCTGAACAATTACTCACCGCATCGCTGAATACTTGCTCCAGTCTCTCCTGCGGACTCTTTCCTTTCTTGTTTCTGATGAGAAGTACGATTTCGCGGATGTTGGGACACTTTCTGCAAGAGCATTTAACAGTCACTTCGGGCCTAAAGCTGATATAAAATATCGTACTCTGTAAAACTTTTTTTCCAAGACTCGTTCGTACTTTTAGGAATTGTGTGGCTTCGATTAGTCGAAAGTCTATAATTCATTTTGGCTTTATACTTTCTACGGGTAGATGCCGTTACGATAGCCGGTTTTTGTTTGCTTCGACTTTACTTAGTATAATTATTATTAACGTACTTATGAATAAATTATAATATAAATAATTATTAATTAGAACCATTCTGTGACTTGTATACCATAGTCATATTTACAATGTCATCTGACGTTTCATTGTTTGCGGGATCTGGTATCCTAGTCCACATCCAATTTTGATATGGCATTTAGATTATGTGTCGAAAACCCACATCATTTGGTTAGTGGATTGTGTATCTTTCTTTAGGATGGTGCTGCGGAGTTGTAATGGCTCTGTCTGTCGCCGTGCAACAGCTACGTTGTTCGCTCGAGTTCCATTGATAATATCGTGGTATTTAATACATATTGTAGATTACAACTCAACAGAGCGTACAGCGACCTATAGCTATTTTTTATCTGTGCAATACAGCCTTGACCGCAAAAGCCAAGATACCGATTACCGACTAATTTAATTCACTCTGCAAGAAATTGGAGTTCACTAGGTATGAAGCGTGACGTGTCTTTTACAATTACTTTTTCCTCTTACAAACACTTACGAATATATTACATGTTAATAACTTAATGAGTTGACAAGTATCTACGATTTAGAATGATTTTTTTCTATCAATTCGAAGAGGCTAACGGAAAATGGTAATATGTAATTACGTAAACGACCACCACAGTGGTCGAAATTCGACCATAATTAATTATACATGGTATTGTGTGTAATGGTTTTTACTGATTTAGTGTATTTTTAATGCATAATTAAAAAAAAATATTCTGCGTTGCTCGTCCGCGCAATTTTCGTAAAAAGGTGTACAACATTTTTGCTTCACGTATTAATATATAGACGCGCTTTCGTTCTGTTACACTTAAGTTGGTAATTATATTATTTGCTTCTACTTACTTTGGAAAGCTTATCAGCTTTAATTGTGACTATTAATTTCAACAAAATTTGACATCGATAAATATAATATGTATCATATTATTATGTATTAGTATTACGTACCAACTCCTTGTCTTCATGACTAGCTGTCTTGTTAAGGTGACTTTAATACTTGTTTCAAGAAATGATATCCAAAATATGGATAATAGTTTACGCAGTGTTTGCTTTAGAAACAGAAAAAAATACTGCTTAATGATTAGAGCGTTTGGATGCGTAAGCCTGATATTGGCAAAACATTTTGCAACCGTATTATCTACACATTTTAGATTTTTAAACATATACAGCGTGTCGTTACAACCGCGAAATTAAATGAACACAGATATAGAGGATACCTTTTTAGAATGTAAATGTTTAATACAACATTTACATTCTTTAAACATCAATATTTACCGAGTTATTAAATTTTCCAAAACAAACAATTTTAGAACACCTTACGTATAAAACTGTAACGTCAAGTTCCTTTGTAAAGGTCACAAACCATATGAATGAATTTAAAAGAGATAAAACATACTTTTAGAAGGAGAGACTTGTACCGCGACGCTGTGGGAAAAAGTCTCTGAATGTATGAATCTGTCAGTTGTAGCTGTATAGGATGTTACAAATTTTGTTTCTTTTTTATTTAACTAGTTTGTTTGAATTTTTTTTTATTATGGATTTTTTAAAGTTTTTTTATGATATATATACAGCATGCAGCTACTCTTCTGTGAAGTGGAGATTAAGGCGCTGTATGCAGTGAATTTTTAAATATTTGGGTGGTTAAGTATGAGGTAGCGGAGGAGGGGTAACGCCGCTTGGCGGAGCGCAGCGCGCGAGTTTCGTCGACGCGCCGCTAGACCGCGTCATTCATTACCTAGTGTGTGTGTAGTTATGGGCCGTAGGATACTATCGATAGTATAATGGAAGGCTTTCGAAAATGTACATAGATGATCACTAAATATCTTTTATAGACCATGATTGTATTTTACTTTTATATTATAATGGGAATAATGAGAAAGTATGAGAAAGCAATCAAGAATTCTAGAAAATCTTCTTCCTGTTTATTATTATTTTTTTAATCATTGGAATTGATTAAAAATACATCTTAAAGTAAAACAAATTAATAAAAGCAAATTACTTATAATTATTATATTTTGTTTTTATGGTTTATATTGTGATTTTAAAGAAATGGCACATAAAATTTTTGCAGAAATTACGAATAAAACTTTTTTTATTACATTTTTTTATATATTAGGAATTTTAATTTATCCTTTAAATGTTCAAGACTTACTATGTTATATTACTTTTTCAACTAAATTGAAATTTAAAAAACTATCGTTAAAATCCTTATTTGTATCGATAAACGACAGCAATTATAAATAGAATCGAAATTTTGTCACTTTGCGCAGACCTCGCGTAGCCTGTTGGTCCGAGCGTCACACACAACGGTAAACTATTTCTGTAGTCCCAAGTTCAAACCACTCATCGAGTGCAGTTGTATTTTTTATATTATTTTCACTTTTAATTTGTTAGCCAACTAATTATTTTGTTTTTATTTTATAAAATGGCTCAATTTGGGAAATAAACAAATTATAAAAAAAAATATAAATAATTATTTTTCGTGTACAAGACAAATTTTCGTTTTAGGGTGAACAATTAAATAAATTAATAAGAAAATAGATGACGTTGAAAAATTTTAATACTAAAAGTTGGTTTATTTACTGATAAATTGTTCTCCAACTGTTTCAACTTTGAACAAATACAATAATATTTCGTCGTAATTATTTATGAAAATAATAAAATCAACAATAAGTACAACAAAAAATTTTGGGATTTGAACCCAATCCATAAAGAATGATGGTCCCATACACTGTATGTATAGAACTGATAGACCAATCAATCACGAGAAAAGACATTGAAATTATGCTTTAAATAAATAAATTAACAACTGTTAATACATACAAATAATTTATAAATACGAAATATGTGAATATATATTTTTTAGTTTCGTGTTTTCGAAGGTCTAATAAAATTAAAATTCTCAATAATAAATAAATACAAAACATATTTCGTAACGGTGAGCGGGCGATGAGCGGCATAGATTCATAGCAAGGCACCTCAGCGCTCTCTGTTCAACGTGTGGAGTTGAAAGAGAACCGAAACAACGCCGCGGTGGCGCGGTGTTTTGGCCATCGCGTTCGAATTAATTTTAATGAATTAAATTAATATTTACAAATATCATACTTTAATCAACAAATTAAGACAACAGTCCTTTTTATTAATATATTCACCTTAAAACTTAAAACTATGCTCGGAGTTATATACATACTAATTAAAAAAAAAACTTAAAAATCTGGCTAAGTGAGAGTCGGACTAGCGCACGAAGGGTTCCGTACCATCATCTATAAAACGCCAAACAGTCATATCTGTTTTTTTTTGAAAAAAATCATTTGTGGAGCCACAAAAAAAAATATATATATACAGCGTGTCGTTACCAACGCGACAATAAATGAACACACATATAGAGGATAACTTTTTAAAATTGTATCAAAAATTTACATTCTTTAAACATCAATATTTACAGAGTTATTAAATTTTCCAAAACAAAGAATTTTTGAACATCCTTACGTATAAAACAGTAACGTAAAGTTCATTTTTAAAGGTCACAACGCATATGAATGGGTTGAATGAATTTAAAAGAGACAAAATATACTGTTAGAAGGAGAGGCTTGTAATGCGACGCTGTGGCAACGAATGAAAAAGTCTCTGAATGTATGAATCAGTCAGTTGTAGTTGTATAGGATGTTACAAATTTTGTTTCTTTTTTACTTAATTAGTTTGTTTGAAAAATATTTTTTTTTTAATTATGGATTTCTTTTAACGTTAATATTTTTTTATGATTATTGGCTACTTGCCGTTAGACGTGTGTTAATTTATTGTCGATGGTAACGACACGCTGTATATACTGTTTTTTAGTATTTGTTTTTATAGCGGCAACAGAAATACATCATCTGTAAAAATTTCAACTGTCTAACTATCACGGTTATGAGATACAGCCCGATGACAGACGGACAGATTGATAGACAGACAGACAGCAAAGTCTTAGCAATAGAATAGGATCCCGTTTTACCCTTTGGGTACGGAACCCTAAAAACGGTATTGTTTTAAGAAACGAGTTTTGAACAACATTAAAATTTCTGTGCTGCGGCAGATTTCTCAAATATGGACACAGATACAAAGTGCCTATTCTCAGATTCGAATCCGAAGGACGACTGTGGCGCACTATGCTATTGGCTTCGGCAGCGGGGGTCGTGGGTTCGACACATGGGACAAGTATTTGTGTGAACTACAAATAGTTCTCAAGGATTTGGGTGTTCAACCCCGAAAATACTTGACGTCCGGTAGGGGTGGACGTTTGGTATCGTAAAAAAAATCTAGTCCACATCATTTACAACGTGATTCACGCGTTGTGCCGACCCTGTTTAGGAGGGATACGAGCAGGAGGAAGAAGTTTTATTCGAAACCGCTCAGCCTTTGTGACTTAGAGGCGGAACAAGCAAGAAGGTTGGGTTAGGTTACTTTGGCGTTCATAATATTAGCGTTATTGCTTAGGGACGTTTATAGTCTGATTTAATGTGTCCCATATCAAATCAAAATCAAAATCAAATGTATTTATTCAACATAGGAGCATTACACTCACTTATTGATAGTCAAAACACTACCACCGGTTCGGAAAAGAAAGCCACTATACTGAGAAGAACCGGCGAAAGAAACTCAGCGGGCTTTTTTTTTTTTTTTTTTTTTTTTAAATAAGCAGTTTGACATAAATTCGTTAAAATACAATATAAGAACTCCGATTGAAAGAGCCTGGAGCGATCAGTTCATTACCAGAGTGTGTTATCATTTAAATAATCATTAATATTATAGTAGCCTTTAACACACAAACGTTCTTTTACTATTTTTTTAAATTTAGCTATTGATGCATTTTTAACGTTTTCTGGAATTTTGTTGTAATAACGTATACATTGTCCCATAAAAGATTTACTTATTTTACGGAGTCTACTTGTGGGTAGGATCAATTTATTTCTTTCCTAGTATTTATATCATGAACATTATTATGTCTTAAAAATGTATCCTTATTTTTATGGACATACAAAACATTTTCAAAAATGTATTGAGCAGCAACAGTCAATACCTTTATCTCTTTAAACAAGTTTCTTAACGATTCTTTGGGGCCCAGATTGTAAACTGCACGAATAGCTCTCTTTTGTAAGATAAAGATTGTATTAATGTCGGCCGCGTTACCCCACAGCAGAATGCCATAAGACATATGCTGTGAAAATATCTAAAATATACCAAGCGAGCCGTATCAACATCAGTTAACTGTCTTATTTTTTTGACCGCGAAAGCTGCTGAGCTAAGTCTACTCGCCAGTCTATTAATATGGGGGCCCCATTGCAGTTTGGCATCAATAGTTATGCCAAGGAATACAGTTGAGTCAATAGGGTCCAACGCTTCCCCATATAAAAGTACATCAGTTTTTACATGTTTAACATTGGAGGAAGTTGTAAATTTAATACATTTAGTTTTTTTTTATTATTCAACAGTAAATTGTTAGCACTAAACTAATGTACTACAGTAGATAGAGTATTGTTTACATCGTCATAACTTAAAGAACGTCGGTTTACTTTAAAGATTAAAGAGGTATCATCCGCAAACAATACTATCTCATGATTATTATTAACAAGATAAGGTAGATCATTTATGTAAATGAGGAAGAGAAAAGGCCCAAGAATAGATCCCTGCGGGACCCCCATATTTACCAAGGCCCCGGGAGATCTCTTGCCATTCACGTCAACTCTCTGAATTCGATGGCTCAAGTACGATTTCAGAAGATTGAGTGTGGCATCTCTTATACCATAGTGGCGTAGTTTCCTGACCAAGGTCTCATGCTGTACACAATCGAAAGCTTTGGTTAAGTCACAGAATATTCCTAAGGCATCCTGCGACTTTTCCCAGGCTTCAAAAATATTCATAACGAGCTGAACACCCGCATCAGTTGTTGAGCGACCCCTAGTAAACCCATATTGCTTGTTATGTAATAAATTATGAGAGCTAAAATGCTGTAACATTTGATTCAACATGATTTTTTCAAAAACTTTACTAAGAGTTGGCAGTACAGAGATATGTCTAAAATTATTGGGGTCGGAAGTACTACCAGATTTAAACACCGGAATGATTTTACTATGTTTCATAAGGTCAGGAAATTCGCCACGATTGATACAAATATTAAAAATAGTTGCTAGGTAAGGTGATATTACATCAATAATAGAACTGATCACCTTAACCGAGGTCCCCCATAGATCTGCAGTTCTTTTAACATCTAAAGTTTTAAAAGTTTTAACAATTTCTGTCATGTTTACAGTAGTAAATTTAAAGTTGACTTTACATTCCATAACATTCTTTTTTAGTAATGACTCAGCAACTGTCGGTGAGGAAAGAAGTGACTTGGTTGTTGAAACTGGAATGTCAACGAAAAATTTCTCGAAGAAAGTAGCAGCCTGTTGATTTGAGTTAATAGAATTATTATCATTAGTTAACATTAGGTCAGATTTGCGCTTCGTGACTCTTCCCGTTTCGCTATTAATTATTTTCCAAGTCATTTTGATTCTATCAGGTGCATTTTTTATTTTATTCCTAATATATAGAGATTTAGCAGTATAACAAGCTTTTTTAAATATTTTAGAGTAGGCACTAACATAAGAAACAAAACATTGACTATGATTGTATGTCCTTTCACTATAAAGTTCATACAATCTACGTCTACTATTATGAATTCCGACTGTTGCCCATTCATTGAAAACTACAGAGCTTTTAGGTTTGACTGTCTTAGGAGTAAATATAGTATTAAATTCCACTTTAATTAAATTAAATAATATGTTGTAAAGTGCATTGGGGCTATCATTATAAGGTAGATACGTCAGCTTTTTTGTTATATTACTTCTAAACTTCTCAACCCGAGTTCTATTTACAGGAACAACCATTATTTTTTGTACCTTAGCACTACTATTTTTTATATATGATTTAAAAGTGGCAAGTTGTCCGCAATAGTCTAAAGTAAATATATTAATAATAGGCTTGTTAATTGGGTTACAGTTTGTAAATATGTTATCTAAACAAGTTGCGGAAGAAGTAGTGATTCTAGTTGGTTCAAGGAATAAATTGGCAAGGTTATATGAATTTAACAATGATCTGAATCTAATAGAGGTGGTAGAATTTTCTAATAAATTTATGTTAAAGTCACCATAGACAATAATATATTTATTAGACTCAGATAACTTCAACATCAATTCTTCCAAAACATTTTCAAAAGATTCATATAACGCACTAGGAGGTCTGTATACGCATACAACAATGATGAATTGCTCAAGCTCCACACAGGCTATTTCAATAGTCTGCTCAACAGAGAGGCTCACAACATCTTTGCGGTTCTTAAATTTTAAAGCATTATTAATAAGTATAAGAGAGCCACCACGTATCGCTTTTTCTCTGCTGAACAGACTAGCAACCTGGTGACCTTCAGTAATACATAATATATCAATATTGTTACTGTTCAAAAATAACTCAATTTCCAAATCTTTACTTAACATTCCTTGGATGTTTTGATGGACGAGGCTAATACAATTTAATTTATTACTACAATTAATGTTTTTATTCAATTTACTTACATGTCTCACTAATTTACTAGAATAAGTTAAGTTTTTAATTGAAGTGCCAGAGATTGCCTCTGTTGTCTTCTTATTCAATTTAAATTACTTGGAACGGATTCCAAATTGGTACATGTCAAATTTTGTTGCTGTTCAATAGAAGCAGCAGTCTGGTTATCCAAACAATTGGCTGGGTTTAAAAAAATGCAATAAGATAGCATATAAGATAACTGTTTTAAATAAAAATTGGATAGGATGAACCTATCATATGTCAAATCGGATGATTTATAATTTATAATATTATCAATCTCCTAACGAGTTCCCGCCTTGTTCAGGCCTGTAGCCGAGACTTGCTTGCTTAGTATCATCCACGGTGACGCCTGAACCCACATAGGAGAGGGCTACTTCGAGTGGTCAAGGAAGGTGGGGAAGCTGTTCGCATTTGCCAAGGTGTTGGCTTCAGCATCGGGGGTCGTGGGTTCGATTACCACACGGTACAACTATCTGTGTGACCCACAGATAGTTGTTTAGCATCTGGGTGTTTGTCCGCAAACTTACGTTTGTAAAACGTCCTTACAACACAGGATAATGTTATCCTAAAGTAAGGGCAGCGTTTTTAAAAGAAATAAAAAAAATTGAAGGGCAAAGAATACTACCTCAGGAGTTTCTCCACTAGCACCTTCCCCATGAAACCTGTGCCGCCAGTGATGAACACCGTCTGATCGGTGAAGGTCTCAGCTATGCGGTCCGGCAATTCGCAGCCCATGTCCGCGGCCATTCTGTCTCTCCTCGATCCTGCAACAGAAGAGTGCCTGGATGAAAATGTGCTAATAATTCATGAGGCGACGTGAACTCGGTGAAAGATGATATGAGCAATTGTTTTATTTAATAAAGTTTGGATAAAGATATTTACTGCTGTGTACTTGTCTTAGAACGTGACGAGTGACGTACTTATCGTTGATCCGGGCGCAAATATATGTCCGATTTTACGTGTTTCAAATTGGTAGAAGCATCGGTGCCGTTTTAATCAAATCCACAAATGTCTTACGGCAATCTCATTTTGAAAGAATCCGTCAGCATTTCCAACAAATCATAAACTCATTGGAAATTATACAGGAATTTAAGGACAATCCACGTGTCCCCATCCTAATCACTAAACTACGGAAAAAATATAAAGAAGCACCTCATATACCTGCTAAGACAGCATCGTATACTTTCACTAACTTACATGATAACATATCTATTCTATTAAAACTGCAGCCGCGGTTAGGATAGACTGCTTTTAGGAGTCAAAACGTAAGATAAACGAGCGATGGAGATATAGCCTCAAGACGCGTAACAAGACGCCTTCAGCCTTCAACAACTCAAATTCCGTGGGGGTTAATTCATTTGTATACGAATCGAAATAGAAAACAAAGAAAATGGTTAATAATTAAAAAATCCATACAATATCCATTACTAATATTTTATATTATAAATGCGAAAGTAACTCTGTCTGTCTGTCTCGCTTTCACGCCAAAACTACTGAACCGATTTAAATGAAACTTGGTACACGGATAGTCTAGAGCCTGAGACATAGACTATTTTATTATTGGAAATTTTTGTAAAGAAAGATTTATTTAAGGGCTTCAACGCTAGCGAAGCCGCGGGCGGAAGCCTAGTTAATAAATAATCTTAATAAGAGCTGTCATAAAGTGTCTAGTTCTGTTTGAAAAATCTGTCTACCAAAGATATACGACATACAAAACGACTTGTTGGAAACATTAGGGGATCCTACTCCTTCATATTCGACAGCACGCTGGACCAAAGAGCTTAAGGTGGGAAAAACATCCACTGAAGATGAACATCGTGAATCCCGAACTGAAGGTAAGGTGAAAAAATCTCGAAGATGTCGTATTGGCAGATCGCAGTGACCGTCAGGCATGTATCTGAGATGGGGACTCCTATGGCAGTTATATTGGGTGGACGTTCTTTTGACAGGAGGCAATATAGGCTCTGTGAATAGTCCTCTCACCTGAGAAGTTTCTACTGCCGTTCAACCGGACACTGTCTCTGACAAACAAACGGTTGCTTGTTGATTTCTTGATTTTCTTCTTAACGTTGTTGTTGCGACTGGACTCGAGGTCGAAATGTCTTTCGGGAATTTACGCGCGCCTTTTATTTCGTTTTTAGGATCCGCCCCACGCCAGCCCCCATTCCCCTCGTGCGACGTCTTCCACATAGCTCACTTATACATCAACGTCGCATGTAAAAATTTAATATTAGACTTGATTTACATTTAAAAAAACTTAAATTGACGAATTTGCATATAATAATAATCTTAAATGAATGTTTCAAAACGATGTCTCGAATACTACTTTATATATTAAGCAGTTATACATTGCAAAATATGAGGAAATTATGTAGGTATAATATCATCTCTTTATTTGCTTAGAAACTCAATAGTTAGCACCAACAATAGAACGATTATCTCGATAAAACTCTTTTTTGCGAACAGACAGGTGTGACGGAACTTCCTCACGTGTCGCTAACGGCAGTATACAAAGAATCCTTGCCAGCGAATTAAATGTGAAGAATATCACAGCGTGTTAGGTGCGTAGAATTTTTACAAGCAGAAGTAGAAATGTGTCGACATTTCAAAGGTGAATCTTGGAAAGTTCCGGGAAGACCACGAAAATGATTCGGCTGGGAAGGTTATGACCTCAGTTTTTTGGGGAAGCTGAACGGAACCATTATGGTGGAATATTTAGAAAAGGTAATCACTATACATGACTCCTACTACGCAGACCGAATAAGAAGATTGTGGGAGGCTGTTAAGTAAAAAATACACGGAACTGCGAGCCCCAAGTACTTTCATCAAGACAACGTAACCTTCACAAGGCTACAGTTGCGATGGTTACAATTCATGAATCTGAATTCGAACTTTAATGCACCCCTATTCGCCAGATTTAGATCCCAGTAACTCTCACCTCTCACCAATAAGTCAGTTCCCAAATTTGGTACGAAACACGACGTGACTCGACAAACTTAATCTATAACAAACTTAATCTTTAATTTTCCGATGTTTTTGATATTTAATAAACACACCAGTTATCGCGAATAAGCAACGCCAGATATTTAAAATGCGCACAAATAGTAAAACTACACGTGGGATCGGGAAATTTTCACTATTTAATAACCGAAATAAACGGGCAGCGGTCTTGGATACTTACGGTTGTCAAATGTTTTGATTGTCTGTGCCTCCGCTTCAAGCACTAACGAATCACCTTTCGCGCAACCGAATTACTCTGTGAACGGAGCAAATACTAAGAGTTGGCGGGAGAATTTTGACTTTTCTAAGTACCCCACCTGATCTAAACGATGATTTCGAAATATCCCTCTCGAGTGTAGGCCAAGCGGGGTACCGCTATAATCTCTATACTTTTAATTTTTATTTTTATTAGAATGTCAATACAAATGCTTATCTTAAAAAACTGGCTGAACACTTTTACGGATTGTTTAAACGTTTAAAATATTACAACCATAAAAGTTTATAATTGCTGTAGTATTTTGGATTGTTTCCAAACTCATTAAAAGTGCATGCATTTCTCAACGTACTTGCGAAGAGACTGGTGAATTATTGGTGTCTCTTTCCGTCTCTTTCGAACACATGATAATTAATCAAAACTTAGAATCCTCATAAATGTACATATAAATTCGTAATAGCTTACATAGCGAAATAAAACATTTCGAAATTATAAATTTATTTGCAGTTAGTAAAATAACCGCGATCCACGTCGATGTATTCGGACGACAGTTTTCCCTCCGCAAAGTTAAAAAGTTTATTTATAACAAAACGGACTTTGTTTATTTTGGCCTCTTGTTTTTTCACAATAATATATATATATATATATATATATATATATATATATATATAACTATTTCTAATTAAACGAATATCTTTCTTAAAATGTACAAAATTAACAGAATATAAAAATATAATATATGCATATTTTATAACGAGCCACGAGTTACTTTTCTAGATTATGATCCGATGATGTCAGAATCTGAATCAATGTTAATTAATAGGGAATTTTAATAAGTATTTGTTAACGCCGTTACGCCCAATTAAACAACTCAGTCAGCTGTATTAACATCACAGGATTCGTTTACTACACTATAGTTTGGATGGCTGAAATAATAAATTGCCGGTGCCCCGTCGAGGTGTATTGGAGAATTTTTCCTTTCCCTTCATTTGTCGAATTTTTCCTTTCCCTTCGAAACGGTCATTCATCATGTATATTATTGCCCATTTTGATTAGAATAATCAAATTTTGGCTTCCACTTAGGCGCTGCGGTAAATTGATATACTTATATTAAACGAAATATGAACACTTTCGATAATTACAAATCCAAATTTACAATAAATATAAAGTCTATACAATAAATATAAGATATCAAGAGAAAATTGATTAATGATGATAATCAATTTTCAGTGAAAAATTCAGTTTACAAGTGCATCTTTTGCGGTGGTAGGGCCAAGCAGCAGCCTCGGCTGTTGCACGAATGGGCAGGCCCGTCCGGGTAAGTACCACGACCTCATAGAAGACCAGCGTAAAGTGGAAGTATGACAAATACTTTCGCGTTTCGTCTGGTGAGTGAGGTAGCCGGAGCCCAATTTTCAAAGGTTGTCAACGCGTCTGTAACCCTCGGGTGTAGCAGATGTCCATGGGCGGCGGTATTCACTTAACATCAGGTGAACCGTCTGCTCATTTGGCAACTTTTCACATAAAAAAAAGAAAATCTAATTCTGACAGCATCTTAACGCTCTTGTCCCGTGTGAGAATCGAGTCCACTACCCCCGTTCAAAGCTAGGCCTAGCACTGTGTTATCGTGTAAAGCCAGAAGAGATAAAGATAACAAATTACCATATTGTTCAGCCAACCGTTTTCTAGCCCAACATTTAAAAGGCGGGCAGCTGTTGGGTTTACGCTAGAAGTATGAAATTCGAAAGGCGAACAAAACTTAAAAAAACCGGCAAAGTGCGAGTCGCACTCGCACGCCGAGGGTTCCGTAAAACATCTTCCTTTATTTTTTCATTTTAAAAACATTGCCGTTGCTTTAGGATAAAATTATACTGTGTTTGTAAGGACGTTTTACAAACGTAAATTTCACGCGGACAAAAAGAATATAATAGACGATGTGAAACAATTCTTTTTTTTTGTTTTAAGAATTTAATTATCTGAGGGTCCCACAAACAGTTGTCCCGTGTGGCGATCGAACCCACGACCCCTGACGCCGAAGCTAACACCTTGTCGCGGTAGGTAGTAGGTACAATACAAGCAAGCCATCTGACAACAGTTAACACCGCGCTGCCGCCAGGACCGGATTTACCCTTAGTGCCGCCCTGGAGCAACATGAAAAATGCCGCCAAATCCATAACCTGCATAAATTGAATAAAAGTTCAGAGCATAATCACTTTTCTTATTATTGTAAACACGCATCTACAGTCTACACTAAAATATTCGTAATGAAAATTATAATCACACCTATATGTATATTTACAGAGTTTGTTTGAAATTCTACCTAGGCACTAGCCCCTAGTGCCCCTAGTGTATACCTAGCACTGGCTAGCGCCCCTAATTCTGTAACAAAACATTTAGTTAGGCCAAATGCGGTAAATTTATTCATTTATTATGTATAATAATAATGTAACTGAATGATCGTTGTCTGTACATGAAAGATATTTGAGAAAAACTATTATTGGGGGCCTTTATCAACGCAGTAGAACCCAAAATA